AATATAGGTATACTTAATGACATTAAGATAAAACAAAAAATATTACCAGAATCATGGAGAAAAGTTTTTTCTCCTTTCAGTGACTCCGGAGACCAACCAACAACGGAGTTTTATGACTTTTCGACATGTAATCGCAATAAAATAAAATAAAATAGTAGACTTTTACTGTTTTTTTTTTTTTTTTTTTTTTGTGAGGGTTTTAAGTTAGCGGCTTAACGAGTACATATAATAAAATGTAAATACACCTATATAATTATTTTGCCGAAAATTTCAAAGTAGTACCTAACAAATAATTGAAATCAAATATCTAATTTTTTGTCACTTTTAAATTGGATCGGAATTTTATTAAAACCGTAGCTAATAGTATGTTTTAATTAGAGTTCCGTATTCACGTGAACTTAACATTCGAATATATAAAACCGTGTACACGTATATTTTTGTGTTCAAGTATTCACATATTTTAGTGATCAGTATAACATAAGACACACATTATCTTGAAATTGTTGATTTTGTTCGTAATTTGATTTTAGAAATTGTAAGTAACAATAAAATAGCTGCGCTAAAATGTTACGTTTTATCAACCTTATTTTCAGTGGTGAAATCACTACCTACATACATACTTTTGATTTTTAAATGGCAACCTATGTTTAAAAACCTATAAATAGACGGAATTGAAATAAATTTTGGTATTGAAATTTGTAATTCCTGTCAAACCGTTGTCAAGATATTCCACTTGTAAGTTTCGGCACGAGAAGAGTATTGGAGCATCATTTGCGGGGCAGTGGGGGGTGCGAGACGTTTGAATGGTGCTCCACTGCTCTCTCCTACTCAGATAAACTTAAAAGTGGAAGATCTCGTCAACAGGCGGAAGTAAAACAAAAATGCCTACACCAAAATGTAATTTGTGCGAATTTTAAAAAAATATAATAAATTATTTAAAAAATAAACAAAAAAATTATATTTTCTAGATATACCTTAAGGCATATATAGGTATTGTTATGAGTATCCGACGTGGACATAAAATGTCAATTCGTCATCAAAATTGAATACAACGTTCATTCGTTCAAACTTATCTTTTGGTTAGGTAATATACTACGGTTTATGCACATTTACAAAAATATGTAACCATGTAGGAGATACTATGTTAATATTATAACTGGGAATTCGATCTGATTATCGGAGGACGAAGAAACGTTATCGAATTATGTTATTATCTTTACACGATATTCGTGTAGGTATATCAAATCGGGTGTTACACGATATCAAGATTCGTTTCGTTTACGGTTGAATATGTTTATACCTGTATAATACCAGCAGTTGTATCTAGTTCTCAGTCACGACACGTCATTATTATTAACCATCATTACAATAATGCGCTGTGCACATTATACAAATATTACTCACGACTTGCTGTACAGTATTTTCAATACGAACTACTGAAAACATCATGTACGAGTTTCGGTGGAAATAATATTGCATTTCACTTGCAATCCACTGGCTGTTTAGTGTTTATTCTAAACACTTTTAAGTACCGTTTAATGTCACGGATAGGTATACTGTGTTCTGTGCCCTGCGGTATATATATATTTTTTTTTTTTTTTTTGTGTATAGTACACATGGTACACTCAAAGCAATCAAAACGGTTTTGTACTTAACAAATATCCAAACGTTGTGTGGGACGTTGAAAAAATGTACTCGTATCTGTATCACCAATCGTATTAATATTAGATATCTAAAGCACGAATCTAGGGCATTCCCCTCTCTCTTCCCTTGCATATTTTTACACGTTTTGACGACGGAAAATGATATGAATAATAGGCTGTCATTGAATAATTTTAAGATCAATACAAAATTATATACTTATTATATTATAAAATTGAATAAAGTTATATATTAATGTAAAATTTAATTTATATTTTGTTAGTAGGTATATTTTTCGAATTATATTCCAATGATTTTGGTTATCAAAGAGGATGACCAAAATCATTGTTTTATACTATAATATAATTTAATTTTGTAAAAATATAATGGGTAGGTAGGCGTTTATTTTTATTACCGTTATTGTTATTTACTGTCGTTGAAATATGTTTAAAAAAAAAAACTCGGATGGGAGGGAAAATGCTTGTATGTATAATAACTATCCGCAATTTACTTTATAATTTGACGTTATTCGAGTATGGTTTCAAAAAGGGTTTGCTTACATATGTTATAGGTTATTTGTTTTAAAAAAAAAAAAAAAAAAAAAACTATTCTTGGAATTAGTTATGTCGAATAGAAGTAATACTAACTAACTGTTTGACGTTTGAAAATCAAAAACGGTTTTTGTACTCACACATACAGATCATTATGCTCGTGTACAATATAATCCATATAGGTATACAATACGCAGAATTGGAACTAGAGGGCAAGACTGGCATCTCATTGTTTTGTAATGTTATTAGTTTCGTTTGTAGACATTTCTTTAAAACAATTTTTTCCTCTTAAAAAACCAAAGTGTGGAGATCAGGGAAATGTACGTCTAAAAATTGTTGTTGTTGTAGTTATGAAAACAATATATGTTTGAAAGTACACTGAATGTTTCAATCGAGCTTTTCCAGTATTATTTTGTAAGGTTCCGCCCGAAATGACGCGGGCCGCATGTTTAAGTCGAACACCCGTTTAATTAGGTAGATATTTTCTTATAGTAGGTATATAAACAATGCTAATGAACCGCAAATAAATTTACCGCACCGTTGATCATTAGGTTTTCAAAAGACAAATAAATAACACAATCACAATGACAATAGCTGCAGTTGAGTTAATCACCCGTAATGTAACACAATGTTTTATACGCAGTAACCTCATTTGGACCACGCAAGGTATACCTACATTTGCGTATTTAAAATCCAATATTAAAGTAATTTGGCCCGGTATTATACATTGTTTGGCCTGAATAATGGATAGTAGCTTGCGCATTACCGGTCTAAATATTTTTTTTTTTTTTTATATTAATATTTCTTCTTTTTTTTAAAAATTAAAACCGAAAACATGTTTGGGATATTACGTAGATATTGTTCAAGATTATCGAGTTCTTTATGATCGTGATAATTCGTGAGTGAAACTTTATTATTAATTACTTAATGTTTTATTAAATGGATCAATAAATGTATCGGAAAATATGTGGATTATTTTATTTGTGTTGTGTTGAAAATTCTAAACGAGATTTATGGCTTGCATAATCACATGCGTAATAAAAAGAGCTTACATTGGGGACGGGTGTGGCCACTGTTGTAGGTAGATAGTTGGGAAGGTGGGATACATTAAGTCATTTGTAACTAACGATAAACGATAATACAATCCTACATTTGTATTTTCTTAAAGTATTATTATTAATTTTTTTTTATGCTTCTGTATGTTGAAATTAATTAAATTGTAAATATAATTTATTTTGTAAACAAAACTGTAAAAAAATACCCGTTAAAATATATATAAAATAAAATAAACTATTGCTAACGAAAAACGATTCGGAATAAAGTTCGTAAGACATATATTTAAATACTGTAATTGTTACGATGATCGTCTAAATTTGGTCTTAAAACAGTTATGAAAAAAAAAAACTAATTCATTAAACTCAAATTTGATCTGTGGATCACTAATTACAACTTATAATGTACTTTGTATTCAATTTTCAAGCATTTCGCTTATATAATTGTAATAATAGATACTTACCGAATGAAAATTAGTACTTATAAAAACATGAAAATATCCAATACCAAAAAATAACTATAATGTTTTAAAAATTTTACCACGTCCATAAAAGGCCAATATAAGTATTTTATGAAAACTACAGGTTTCTACAATAATTGTTAACCAAATACCAACAAAAGACTTAAATGTCGTACACTTTGTCGTACTTCCTACGTTTTTTTTCCCAGATTTTCGTAATTATTAAAGAAACTATAAAAAAAATCAAACAACGACTTTCTTACTCACAATCTAGATAAAATTTTCTTTCAGAAAATATGCTATTCTTAAAATTTGGACAAAGATTTCTGGTAGAAAAAAATCTTAAAAATTGTAAATAATGAAATCGTTGCGCCATAATTTAAAAAAATTGTACTTTTTGTCTATTTTGGATTTTTCCAATAATTATGAAAACTACTTTGATATCAAAAAACGATTTTCTTTAATATTAAAAAGAACGAAATTGATTTTTACCATTTTTCTAATAGAAAATATAGTTTGCAAAAATTAAAAACAATGAAATCCGTAACACAATCGCAGTAGGATGCGCTTTTTAATCTTCTTTCCAGTTTTTCCCAATTATTTTGAAAACCCACTGAAAAATCAATTAGTCAACAATTTTTCTTTTAAATTTAAAAAATTAAAATTTTGTTTTTGTAAATAATTTCTACACGACTTAAGGCATAAAACTGTACAAAAATAATGGCAAAATGTATTTATATTCATGGAAAAATAAAACACTTTTAAGTAGATAAAAAGTTTTATTTAAACAAATACTGCGATTTTTGGTTCATAATAATTGTATAATTTAATTGTATCACCAAATAGCAATCGGAATTCCGATGCGACGGATGGATTTTACAGCGACGACCGGTAGTGACAAACGTCCACCGTATGAGACGTCATCCGCACCATTTCGTCGGCATTTTAATTAGTATTTAAACCTATAGGTAATGTAATAACAGATATACTAATAAATAGAACAGTAGCTGTAAAAGACAAAATTATTTATTAAAGACAATAGTGATTGGCTTCAAGCAGTACTAACTTTTCCATATTCTGTGTGTAGTAATATCAGAGTTCAAATCGGTAATTATTTTAAAAAAATATACCTTCTAATGATGTTTTAAAATGCATAATATAATATTAATTTAATTTAAATAATTCAGAGGTTACCAAATGTAGCAGTCGCGATTGTTCAGCATTATTGTCGAGTGATAATAATAGCGAACGCTCAAAAAGACGACGCAAGTCTCAATTGCTATGCAATTTGTCTGCTGTAAATGAACTAAGCCAGAGTACATCAATGTCTTTAAGAAAACATGACAATAAGAATGTAGCAAAGTTAATGAAAAAGAAATTACACAAAGTATTCCAACAAAATGACGAAAAATTCGTAATACATGGATTAATAACAAGCGAGAAATTAAACCTACACCACTAAGAAGGTACAGACGAAGCATTTTTAACGTTTTATTCAATTTTTGATGTATAATATCAAATATTTACTGCGATAGTTAACCTGATATTGTAATTTAGGTTAGGCGAATCAAAATTAAATCTTAAATAATAATTTGAATTAATATAATTATTTCATATTGGATATATCATATATTATCATATATCATTATATATCATATCATATCATATATTATATATAACTTATTATGAAAAAAGAATGACAAAATAAAATAAATTGACCTGTAAGTTTATCAATTTTAAATGTATTATTATCAGGTTAATCCTAACGGGGGAGAGGGGAGGAGATTGTTCTAATTTAATTTTACCGCTCAGTCAATTTAACAGGGAGTAAAATTTTTCTAGAATGTCTTAGTCTTGATCTTGGTCTTAGTTTGCTCATCACTAGTTAAAATAAACCTTGAAAGATTCCATAAATATAAAAAAAAAAAAAAAAATAGAATTTAAATTCACTTAAAATCCTCTGAGAAAATTGCTAGTTTATGATAAAAGAATCTCCATGTTTTCATACTAACATTTTTATTACCCCCTCTGGGTATTAATGAAGGGGTCGACCCAAATTTATACACGTTCGGCGCCATCGCGACTCTTCTTCTACCCTCCCTCAAATACAGTGGTGTTATGTATTTTATTTTGTTATTAAAAAAACGTGTTAAAATTTCTGTTTTCGTCGCTTGAAAAGTTGTTATGTCTCAATGTCGCCATGCCATAGGATTGCAATCTGAATTTTATTTTGATGAATAATTATTGAAGTTTATTATTCATTTTCTTTATATTTATGTATTTATATTACAAAATTATTTTTAAATTCATAAACCCATCGGTTCGAGTAATTATCAAATAGCATAATTTTATAATAAAAATAAAGTTGTTCATAATAAAAACTTGTGATGGGTGTGTCACTGTTGTAAGTAGGAAGTTGAGAAGGCATAGGATATAATATTATAAAGGAAGTAATTCTGAAATTTATATCTGTACATAGTGAAAATTCATTATTTCTATTACATTTCTACTTCCCACTTCAAATCTTCAAACTTATAATTTGAAAAACAAAATTTCGATAAATTTTTAAACTAGTATTAATACAAAAAATTATCACTATATGTTAGTATAGTGATAATAGGTTAGGTTAGATTAGGCTAAGAAAAGATTCAATCCATCTTTTTCTTTTTCAAAACCTTTTGTTTTCACATGAGCAATAATGTAAAACAGAAAATTAATGGCTTAGTTTGGAAGTTCTGTGGGAAAAAACTTCAAAAGTTCAGGGTTTTCGCGTCGCATATTTTTTATTTTCAATAATGCCTAGAATTTATCATTACAAACATGTAGCTTAACGTATGTGAAGGCCTAATACTGCAAACAATAGTAACTTATTTTAAATTTGTTTTACATTTGATCACTATCTCAATATGGGAAGTGACCCAGTGGTTATTTGCCCACCATACCCTTGTGCCCAGAATCTAAAAAATATAGGTATTTGTTCAATTACTATGTAATTAAGGTGATTAGAATTTTTTATGAAATGCCTTACCTATTTATTTTCAACTAAATATATAGTTACATTCCTGATGTAGGTAGTTTTAGAAAAATGAATTTATTAATATTTATATGTTATTCTGTAACACATGACAGTGTAACAGTGTCACATATAACAGTGACAGTTGTATCAAATTTATATTCTTTATGATACCTATCATTTAGCTTAGTAATGGTGCTTGTTTGTTCCATGGTTAAATATGTTCACCTTTTATTTTTATAATGTTTGTAATTTTTTTTTATAAAATTCTGAGATGGGAAAACAGTTATTTTGGAAATAAATTTAATTGGATTTGTAGAGAAAAAATCTTTAAAATAATAATTGCATTAATTATCATATTATATTTCAACGGCTACATAATATTTGATACTCGTATATAGGTATTATATAAATATATATATAATAATAAAATACTTAGCACAAAACATTGACAAATTGATTAAATAATATTAAAATATACATATTAAACAATTATCTAAGTATATAATTTATAATTTATTATTGTCTTTAAGGGCACAATGTTTCAAATGGCAATAGCTTTTATATAAAAAGTATAGTTAATCGCGTAAATTTCATAATAATTCAGCTATTATAATAATACAGTATTTTATTGAGAATAACTGCTCACCAATTAATTTATAAATATCTAAATACTAAATTGACATTATGTGTATAATTTAATATTAACAACAATAACATATGAGTATGTAAGCATAAATTAATTAATTCTAAGGTGATAGTTTATAAATATTATATAGGTATGTAGTATTTAAGATAATAATAGTTTAGGATATGCAATAATTATTATAACACTAAAGTCTTACACTTGTAAGCTATTGAGTATATTATTTATATTTAAAAAAATATACATAAATTTAACAACAAATCGGGAGATAATACTGTAAATAATATTTATGCATATGAAATCTGACAAATAAAAACACTGTTGTAAGTGTCAAAGACTGATTCTCTATTGTCATCTTAATATACTCATTCAATTGTAATTCTGGTATAAAATGAATAGGTTATTATAAATTTATGTATTAAAAATCAGATATAATGTATTATCATATATTTTTTAATAGAATTTTTAGTATAATTGTTATTTTGCATGGTATACAATAATTGTAATTTTTGTCAGAACTCTGTGAATTTACTCAAGAATGATTTTTTTTTTTTCATTAAAATGATGTGTGCAGGAAATAAGCATTAAAAGTTTAGTGAAATACAAATAAATACATAATCAAAATATCTGATTGGCGATTATTCTTACAAACATACTCATAAACTTATTAGAAAGTCAGTCTTTTGCACTTTTACTAATATTCAGAATAATATTTAATGATTTCATAAATTATTCTAATTTTGTTGTTGGAAAAAACAATTTAAGATATTATACTAAAAGTATAAATAATTATAACACATAGGTACTCATTTATATAGTATGAATATATGTATATTTATAAGGAAAACACATGTGTATGTGTTATATTTATTATTGTTATGATTTTAGGAATTATTGTTTCCATAGGAGTTAAAAAAAATAATGTTTCCACACTTAAATTATTAGTAAAAAGAAATATAATAATAATGGTTTTGTGACCTATTTGGTTGAAAAATAAAAATACTAACGCGTTACTGTAATGTCACGATACTATTTTTAAAAGCCAATGCATTGTCCACTTGATAGTTTCATTCAATTTATTATTCTATTAGCTTCGATAGATATTACACCACCAGGTCCAGGCAATAAAGATTGTTCCATCAGGAATAAATCTACTTCTCTAGCGGCTTGGCGTCCTTCAGATATAGCCCAAACAACTAATGACTGGCCACGGCGGCAATCTAAATGAGCATTTATAGTTAGCATGAACCATAGTTTGCCAATTAGATTAAATTTGGATAACAAACCTCCAGCAGCAAATACTTTAGGAACAGATGTAGCATAATGGCCGGCTGTTGTCTCAAAATTAGATCTCGGGTCAAGAGCTAATGATAGTTCATTGACAATAGTACGCTCAGGCCCAAGGAATCCCATAGCCAAAAGAACCATATCACATTTGAAAATCTAAATTTTGCATTGGTAATTAAAATTAGATCTAATAAAGACTCATAAAAATATAGTTTTTAAATATAATACCTCTTCAGAGTCTGGTACTTCATCCATTTTCCATCTTCCAGATGCATCTTTAGTCCAGTTTACTTTAACTGTTTTGATACCACTAACATGACCATTTCCATCATCAATAAATTCCTAAAAGATAAGTTTTTTTATAAAAAGAAGTGTTTATAATAAAAATAATTTATACAAGCTTTACCTTGCTCATTATGGAAAATTGTCTAGGGTCATTTCCAAATTTAATTTTGACTTCTTCATGACCATAATCAATTTTGAACACTCTAGGAAATTGTGGCCAAGGATTTTCCCGTCCTCTAGTCTTTGGTGGTTCAGGAAGAATTTCAAACGATGTAATAGATTTTGCTCTCTAAAATAATAATTAGCAAATAATTTTAATTAATAACAATATGTTACACCTAAAAGCAATTACTAACTTGTCTTAATGATGTAGCAATACAATCACAACCAGTATCACCACCTCCAATTACAATTATATCTTTGTCCTTTGCTAACAGGCTTAAGTCTGTAGGTCCACCAAGTTGTTTCTTTTGAGAAGATTCCAAAAAGTTCATGGCAAAATAAATACCATCTAGATGACGACCAGGTATTGGTAGATCTCTTGGCCATGTAGCTCCAGTGCATAATACAACCGCATCAAATTGTTCCAAGAGTTCCTAAAATAAATATTATGCATATTAATTAGTTACCTCAACATTATTGATTTGCATAAGAATTACTTTGGCTAAATAATCTTTTCCGACGCTAACGTTTGTGTGAAACACAATTCCTTCATCTTTTAAAAGTTCCACTCGTCTTTGCACAACTTGTTTAGATAATTTCATGGTTGGAATTCCATATTGCAGTAAACCACCAATACGATCATTTCTTTCAAAAACTTGTACCGAATGTCCAGCCTAAGAAGAACTATTGTTAATATGTTGTTTTTAATTTTTATGTATTAAGCATCTTTGTATAATATATTATATACAGAGTTTTTAAAATTTCATTTTTCAGCCAAATTTTTGATGAAATACTTATTTTTTTCACAATTATTTTTGGGGCTGAAACAATGGTTTCATTTTTTCACTTCTTTAGTTTTTCAAATAGCAACCTATAACATATCAAGAAATTCTAAAAATAAATAAAGATTTAGTTAAAATACATTTCAGTGCTGTCATTTATAATTTCCATTAACATGTTGACAAGATCTTCAATCTTTAAATATGAGTAGAGGGAGAGTAGTAGAGACCTACTAAACGCTGTGTGCTGTCACATAAATTATGTTCCACTACTCTCTTCCTATCCAAATTTATAAGTGGAATATCTTGTTAATGAGTTGACAGAAATTAACAATTTTAACACCAGAATGTATTTAAACTAAAATTGTATAGCTATTTATGACATTTTTAATATAAGATGCTTTTGAAAACCAAAAGTTAAGGTTTTTAACTCGGAAAGGGTGAACAAAATAAGGACAATGTAAATTTTCAGAATTTTTAGAATTCCAAATATTTGTATGTAAATCATTAAATTTTTTTAATGAAATTTCATAGAAAAAGTGACTGCATCATGAAATTCTGAAAACCTTGTTTATACAATATACATATATATATATATATATATATATATAAAGGTAATTGTACTAATAAATACTTTATTCAATTGATGGGCAGTTGCCAGTCCTGACGGACCAGATCCAACAATAGCTACTGTCTTTCCAGTTTGAAACTTAGGCGATTCGGGTTTAATCCAACCTTGTTCAAAAGCATGGTCAATAATTGCACATTCAATGTTCTTGATTGTAACTGGAGGTTCACTAATACCCAAAACACATGCTCCTTCACAGGGGGCAGGGCAGACCCGTCCAGTAAATTCTAAAAAAAAGTAATATTAAACTAAAGAGTTACCTTCTATACTAATATATAATATAAAAACGAAATAGCTAATATTGGTGATGGGTGTGCTACTGTTGTAAATAGAAAATTGGGATAGTAGGATAAATAGATTTATATAATTTATATCTCTATTCAATGATAAATTGTTGCTAATGAAATACGATTCTGAGCAAATTTTGGTTAAACATGTTTTGAAATTCTGTGATTTGTATAATTTTCATCAAAATTTGAATTTAAAACACTATTAAAAAAAAAATAACTATATTACGCACTACATATTTTTACCATTAAATAAAACTCTAATTTTTGACTTTGAGCTCTTTTGGTCCAGAGAGTCATTAAATGTGTCCAAACATATAAGGAAAAATATTTATACATATATACATATATATACAACAGACATAAAACAGTGAAATAGTTCCTATTTTTGAGGAAAATTTGAAGAAAAAAAAGTACACATCATAGTAAAACTAATACATTTCTCCCTATGCTCGGAATCTAAAACATTATCTGAAGGTACATACCTGGGAAATTGTTAGTTTGTAAAAGTTGATTACATGCTTCTTGCCAATTATTGTGAAATATTAAATCATTCCATTTTGGTATGATATTTCCTAAAGGACATCCATGTGATGATTGACAGAATGGAACACCACATTCCATGCATCTAGCAGCTTGAACTCGAAGTCCTTTCCTGACGTGTTGAGTATTATAAATTTCATCCCAGTCGTTAAGTCTTTTTTCAGCTGGTCTATACATCATTGTTTCACGTGAATATTTGACAAAACCTCGAGTTTTATCTAATATTTTTTCAAGTCTTTTTTTTTCAAATGCTTGGTCATTAATTGTTTCTTCAATGTCACAGACACTTGGTTCATTTATAGTTTCAGTTGGATTTATGTGAGGCTGTGCAACTTTCGTTTCTTCTGCCAATTGTTTCAAAGCTCTTTGATACTCAAAAGGAAATACTTTAATAAATTTTGATGCAGAAAGAGGCCAAGTATCAATTAATTTAGTCGCAATAACCGATTCAGTTTTAAGAACAAATTCTTCTAAAAGTGATTTAACATATTCAAGATCTTCTTGACGATCTAGTGGAAGAAGGTCCACCATTTCTGTATTACATTTACTGTAATATAAATAAAACAAATTATAAATAATTAAATTTTAAAAGAGAATATGGTTTTAATTTAACTTTACCTTTTAAAGGTTCCATCGACATCAAGAACATAAGCAATACCACCAGACATACCAGCGGCAAAATTACGCCCTGTAAGACCCAAAATAACTGCACAACCTCCTGTCATATACTCACAACCATGATCCCCAACTCCTTCAACGACAGTTATAGCACCGGAATTTCTAACCGAAAAACGTTCAGCTGCAATACCCCTGAAAAATGCTTTTCCACTAGTAGCTCCATACAAGCAAACATTACCAGCTATGACATTAAGTTCAGACTGGAATGTAGATGATTTTGGAGGGTAAATTACTATTTCTCCTCCAGACAGCCCCTAAAAATTATATATTATTCGGATTAGTATTTTAATTTGTTTTCTATGTTTTAGTTATATAATGTATAATAATTTAGTTATTTTGTAAAATTTATTTGTACAGCTCACTAAAAAAAAAAAAGGCTATCTAAACTAATTAAAGGGGGGAGGGGTGTGAGATTTTTGAAAATTTACAAAAGGGACGTAGAATAAAAAATATATTTGGAACCACTATTATATAACAATAGAACATGTTAAATGTTTTTCCACATAAATGGAAAAATCCATTATATTATTAATTTATTTTAATTAATTATATTTAATAACTTACTTTTCCAACATAATCATTAGCATCTCCTTCTAAAACTACATGTACTCCTTTGGTCATAAAAGCACAGAAACTTTGCCCTGCAGATCCTTTCAATTTGATGTTTATACTATTATCTGGCAGACCATCATCACCATATTTCCTAGTTTGACAAATGTCATGTAAATTAATTTTATGAATTATAAATGCATAAATACAAAACTTACATTGAAATATGGTAGCTCAAAGTTGATGCAAAAGCGCGACACTCGTTATTAATGACAACTTCCATATCAACACTTGATTGCAAACCATCAATTACTGGCTGAGCAGCAGCTATAATGACATTGTCCATACGTTTTTCTAGTTGGAAGTCCTAAGTGTAAGAATGATTTTGTTACTACTATTAAATAAATTAAATATTATTTATTAATAGTCAATGATCATACTTGTGTTTCAGATCCACCAATTATGTTGACACCCGGTCTCATATGAAGAGCATTTCGTAAAATGGGACTAAGATTTAAAAATTTTGATTTACGGTTGGTGTAATTATCTGTCATTTTAAGAAGATCAGTACGTCCAATAAGATCTTGATATTTAGATACACCAAGTTTAGCCATATGTTTACGAACATCTTCAGCTAACATAAATAAGTAATTTACAACATGTTCTGGTTTACCAGCAAATTTTTTTCTTAACACAGGATCTTGAGTAGCAATGCCAACAGGACAAGTATTCAAATGACATTTTCTCATCATGGTACATCCAAGTACAATCAAAGGTGCAGTACTCAAGCCTATTTCATCAGCACCCAACAGAGCAGCAACAATTACATCAAAACCAGTTCTTATTTGACCATCAGCTTGTACAACTACTCTGGATCTCAAATTATTTAATACAAGAACTTGATGAGTTTCTGCTACACCAAGTTCCCATGGTAATCCTGCATTTTTGATACCTGTCCATGAACTAGCTCCAGTACCACCATCATGACCAGAAATAACAATGTGTTCAGCTTTTCCTTTAGCTACACCTGAAGCAACCACTCCAACGCCAACTTCAGAAACCAGTTTCACAGATATTCTCCCATTAGGGTTGGCGCACTTCAAATCATAAATAAGTTCTGCTAAATCTTCAATTGAATAAATGTCATGATGAGGGGGTGGAGATATCAACCCAACTCCGGGTACTGAATGTCTAGTGGCAGCAATTTCTTTTGTCACTTTATAGCCGGGTAATTCTCCTCCTTCACCAGGTTTAGCACCTTGGGCCATTTTAATTTGCAGATCATCAGCGTGAGCTAAATAGGAACTTGTTACACCAAATCGACCAGAAGCAATTTGCTTGATAGCAGATCGTTTATTATTCTCTGAATCTTGATTCAAATAGCGATCAGCATTTTCACCTAAAATAAAAAGATACAATAAATAGAATACACTCAAAATATAAATATAAAACTTTATTACCTCCTTCTCCTGTGTTTGATTTTCCTCCAATTTTATTCATTGCAATTGCTAGAGATGAATGTGCTTCAATAGAAATCGAGCCAAAACTCATAGCACCTTAATAACACATTAAACCAATTTTATTATTTTCTAAACAAGTTTAAGTTTTGATATTTTACCTGTAGCAAAACGTTTTACAATATTGACTGCTGGTTCAACTTCAGAAATATCTATCGATTTAGTTGTAGGGACCAATTCTAATTGTCCTCTAAGGGTGCAAGCGCGTACACTTTCCATTGTTGATTCACAAAATTTATCATAAGAATTTGTATTTTTGTTAACTGCTGCTTCCTAGAATACAATATTGTATAATATGGAAACAAATCAAATATTTTTTTTATAAAACTATACTTGTAGGTTGGCTATGCTGACTGGGTCGTTTATGTGTTTTTCCCCCCCATAACGCCAATGGAAAAAACCAGGGTTGACCAAAACATACATGTCCGTGTTCCGAAGAGAAAATGATAGGTAATGCCGTCGATAAGTTTCTTCAGCCAAACATTTAAAATTTATACCACCAATACGTGATTGAGTACCGTCAAAACACTTGTTAATTACTTCATCTGCCAACCCAACAGCTTCAAATATATGGGCTCCTTTGTAAGACTGTAAAGTTGATATACCCATTTTTGCCATTACTTTAGATATTCCACGCTCCATTGCCTCGCAATAGTTCTGCAATTTCAGGTGAAAGTATTAAATATTAAGTATCTAAAATAGAATTTGATAAAAAATTAAATTACTAACCTCAAATAATACTTTGTCAGTAAATGACGCATCCAATACTCCTTCAGCACGCAAACTTTTAGCCATTTCAAATACTAGATAAGGACATATGGCATCAGCTCCATAACCCAATAAAACACACATCTGATGAACTTCCCTAGCTTCACCAGTTTCTACGATTAAACCAACTTTCATACGTAATCTCTTTTCAATCAAATGGTAGTGAGTAGCTCCCAAGGCCAATAGCATACCGATTGGTATTCTGAAAAATAATATAATGTTTATAAGTCAATTATTAATTTATTTCTTCGCATGGCATAGACAATAAAGTATAGTAAGTAATTGAAGTAGTAATAATCAGGTAACAAAAATATTATGTCAACGTAAAGCAGTTTTATGAAATACTGTAAACGTATTTTACCTTTGAGCTCCAACTAATCTATCTGACAATATAATGAGTTGATAATTATTTGCTGCAGCATCACTGGCTTCTTTACATACACGATCCAATCCTATAGAAGCCCCACGTGGTCCATATTTTTTATCAAATGTAACGTCTATTACTTTTGTCTGTAAATGTGTAATATTATTTAATTTTAAAAACTGTAGATTAAAATGTATACTATAAACTATTTTTATAGGTATAGTTAGTATTTATTTAGAAATATTTTAATCACAATATGATAATTAATATGATTAAAAAAATATTAATCAATATTCTTGAAATAAACACTTAATAATAATAAGTCTTACTTTCCATCCACGGTGCTGATTATTACGTAGAACTTCTAGATCATAAAGGGATAATATTGGATTTGGTAAAAATAGTCTGTGACATTGTTTAGCACTAGGTATGAGAATATTAGCTTCAGGTCCGATTGGACACATTAATGACATAACAATTTTTTCACGGAAGGGATCAATGGGTGGATTTGTTACTTGGGCAAATAGTTGTTTAAAGTAGGAGTATAACAATGGTTGAAAAAGAGATAGGCAAGCGAGTGGAGTATCATTCCCCATTGAGCCCAATGCTTCTTTTCTAAAACACCAAACCATTTATTAAATTTCAAAATAACTTTTTATATATTTAAACGTTATTAACATACTTTGTTTTGATCATCGGAATAATTAGCATGTTAATAGTTTCAATAGAATAATTAAATAACAATAAGCGTCTGTCTCCTCCCCATATGCGAGTCATTTCTTGTTCTGGAATGTTATCTCTCAGCGTCTTATTACGTTCACCACTTATGAATTCAATCGATTTAGCTCGCACCAAACCGAATCCTTGAGCGACAGCTTCTTCTCTTAAATCTTCAATTGTAATCTATAAAATTCAACATATATTTTAATAAACAGTTAAAAATTTCAATGCAGATAATATATTATATACATATACTACATTATATACACACAAATAAAACACCTAAAGTGTATGAAGACAGTTGTTGGAAGATATTTTTGATATAAATTAATATATAGGTATTAGTACTATACATGTATATCAATAAAACATTAAACCATCGTATAAACAAATATGGTATATAAAATATTAATATTTACAACAGCTTAAATGTAAAGAAAACCTTAGAAAACTAAATAGCTAGGCATTCCTGAGAAATACGCGAAGGTATCAAGGTATAGGTGCAGACTGCAGAAGCATATTTTCAAATCATTTATCAACACATATAACTCACCCTCTGTAAAAGTAGTACAGGAAACAAACAATTTGCGGCATCGAATAAACAAAACAAAACGGTTTATGATTTAATTCTCGTGTACAATACAAATGATATTATTTAAAATAGCCGCAATAACGACGAGGAAAAAACATTTAATACCTGTTCCCGGAGCCAATCGGAATAGGGTCTACTTCTAGCAATGTCTGATTTCAGTTGAACATCCTGGATAATGCGTTTTTCTTTGGTGTCCACCAACAGCATACGGCCTGGTTTCAAACGACTCTGTACGAAGAAAAACCGATAAATTTGTATTTTACAAAAAAAAAAAACAGAAAATATAGTCCACCTTATGAGCCACGTTGGCCGGGTCAGTATCGTAGACGCCAACTTCGGATGCCATGACCATGACGTTGTCTTTCAATACATAGAAACGAGAAGGTCTCAGTCCGTTCCTATATATTATAATTGCGATTGAGTATTTTATAGAGTACACGTATCACATCACGTAGGTTTATTACCTGTCTAGCAAGGCACCGACGTATCGGCCGTCGGTGAACGTCAAAAGCGCGGGACCGTCCCAGGGTTCCATGGCACACGCTGCCCAGTTGTAGAAGTCTCTTTTTTCGGACGGCATCGTCTCATCGTTTTGCCAGGCTTCCGGGACCATGGTCATCACGGCTTCCGGCAGCGAACACTCGCCAGCGTTGATCAAAAACTCCAGCACGCAATCGGCCGACCCGGAATCCGACAAATTCGGTTCGACGACCGGATATAGTTTTTTCACGTCGTCGAAGTACTTGCTTTCCATCACACCCTCCCGGGCCTTCATGAAGTTCACGTTGCCACGTACCGTGTTGATCTCGCCGTTGTGCGCCAACACCCTGAATCAAACGCACAACATCATTAGGTTAGATAGATAATTCCAAAGAAACGACTTTTACCGTCGCCCCGCAATCAAGGGGCCTCCGCGAATATTCTTCGGTTATCATGGGAATAGATAGGTAGGTATTGTTGAAACCGGCAAGTATAGGTATTAATGTTTTGTTTGTGACTAGGAAATTATATTTACCTCAAAGGATGGGCTCTCTCCCAGCTCGGGAAAGTGTTTGTGGAGAATCGGGTGTGCACTAGCGCCAGATACGCTTCGTAATCCGGACTCTGTATAACAATTGTACAAGACACGCAAGAATTATTGTAAATAGTTAGAATTATTTGATCCGTAGAATTGTATTAAATAATACAACATTAGCGTACTTGTAGGTCGGCAAAGTAGGCCCAAAGCTGGTCGGACGTGAACTGGCCCTTGTAGACGATGACGGTGTGCGACAACGAGCAAATGTAAAACCTCCTGCCCGGCTTGGGTATGGCATGCGTGGCCCGCTTGCGGAGTGCAAACACGCGGCGCTTGAAGTTATCCTCGTCGAACTTCTCAGCGCCGTCAACGACGAACGCCTGACGGATGAACGGCTCGCTGCTCCTGGCCACCTCGCCGATCTGATTGTTCCGGACTGGTACTGTTCTCCAGCATAACACCTGCAAAGATTATAATACGGGCCGGCGATCAGTACGCATCGCAAACTCGGGAGTTTTTTTTTTACTGGGGCGTTGTTTTTTTTTTTTTTATAAATTTTTTTTTGCGGGGTTGCACTAAAGAAGAATCGATATAATATTATTCGGCATAGCGATAATATTATAGGGACTTCGTCGCGAGTGGGTTCGAAATCGGCCGTCGGGTCTAAGAATGTATTGTAGTAATATTTAGGGTTATTAAACATGCAAATGCCGTGGGCACACACCTGTAAGTCAATATCAATATAATATATTATATTATAATATGCGGTCCGATCGATACTTATTAATAAATAATTGTTATGCATAAAATGCTTGATAATATGTATATACATATACATCGTGTTTGTTATTATTTATGATAATATATGCTATAGAGGTTCTAAAAATGTGGTGCCGGAAAAAAAAGGGATAGAGTAAAATGGACAGAAAAGAAAACGAAGTAATAGGCATTAGAACAAAGCAAAATAAAAATAAAATATATTACTCTGCCAAACGGTATAATAATATTATTACAAGAACAAAACGTTGGTGTGATATAATGTTAGGGCATATTAATATGCTGAGACACCGTAACTCCATATTATATCGTCGCAGTAAATGAGGACGGCAGAGGGGAAACGAGGAAGAGTAAGACCGAGAACAAGTGGTTATACAGGGTGTCCCACGAAAATATACCCATTATTTATTCATTTGTACAAATGGATAAATATAGACGGGAGTTGCGAGTATAGTAGGAACTCGAGAGAAACATTTTGTTGTAAAACAATTTGAGGATTTTGATAACTAGAAAAAAAAAATGGTGCAGATAATACCTACTTTTTTACTTTTTAAAAATAATATCAACTTAACTTCTATATAGAATACACATTTTTTTTAGGTATATGTATCAGCTATTTCAGCTATTATAAAAAAAAAAAAAAAGTCTTCTATTGCCGGTAATAATTCTATACATTCGTTATTATTTTTTATTATATAATATATATAATATACATAGATGATATATTGTATATACTACTATAGTATATAACAGGCGATAGTGTTACATTTTTATATTTGTTTAACTTATAATATATGTCTAATCGCTTATGTAATGTTAGATTTTTCAACATTTTATCGATTTTAAAATGCAAAACAATATGTTTAAACATACTTTGTTTTTGAATTTCTTTGAAATAGGCGAAAGAAAAAAAGCATTTATGTGTAAGCATATAATACCTAGTATAATAGAAATCGATAAAAGCATTCGTGATAATAATTTATTAATGATTTGACGATTTAACAAAGAAAAACAAATGCATATTATTAATAAAAATACATCGTTTTTCAATGTGGTTGCAGCGATAACTGCAGATAATCATTGATAATTTATTGGTAACATATAACTTGATGAGGATCACCTAAATTATTTTATAAACGCAACAAAAGAAAATATATATATTTATATATAAATCATAAGAACACAAACAAAAAATTTGATCAATGTGTTTCTTTGTACGAATATTTTGTAGTAGGTTTTTTCGATTGTTTTTTTTTTTTCTATACTAAGTATATGTTCGATATTGGGTATTATTGTCATTTTAAAATGACAGTTGTACAAAATCAAATCGATTAATAGATTACAGTACAACCGTTGTACCTAATACTTATTAGTTCTATCATAGATACAACGAAAATCGAACAGTTTTATGGTATAAAAATCATATGGAAAATTATAGAAAACCTAATATTAGATTTATGTAATCGAACGAAAATAATATATTATAATAAACGTATTTCGTTTGGTTTGTGTAACGTAATAATACGTAACAGTGTCGTATCCAGGATTATTATTTATTTTTTTTTTGAAGGGAGAGGGGTTGATTAGTTCCATATCGCATATTATTGTAATTTGTTACAGTATAGGTATATAGGTAACGAGAACAAATTTCCGTTGATGTATCCATAAGCGATCAAACTATAGTATAAAATATTATAATATTATTTTAGAAAAAAAAAAAAAAACCAATATTGATAATATTCTTTTTTTTTTTTTCGTTTATAAGTAACATTAATGATATAATATTATATATATTACATATATGTATTAATACAAACGTGGTGTGGTGATGTAAGTAGAAAAAAAAATAATAAGAATATAATATATATATATATATATATATGTAATGTAGAAATAAATAATAATAATAAAGACACAGATGATAAATTTACCGTACGACGATAGCGTGCAGTGGTTGTCTATCGATCGAATCGGCTTAGTATTTTGTTTCCGTCGCGGTACGTATTTTGTAGAGGTATAATATTTGTGGATCAGGGCCGTTCTGCAATAAACAATATCATAACCCAGCCTCACATCATATTCTCGCACATTAAAGTGTTGGGTTTTTTTTTTTTTGGGGGGGGGGGCTCACTTGTGTTACGTTATAATTGATAAATACATATTGTACAGTATATGTGTATTGTATAAGTACAACCGTCGTCGTCATTATCACAAACAGAGGGGGTTTGCGATATTTCGGTACACGGTACGTTTAAAATATATTCACTATATTATTATACGGTATACCGCAGCTATACAACAATAATATTACGTGTACATATTACATTATAATATTATAAGTTACTACATAATAATAATAATAATAATAATAATAATAATGATAATAATAATAGTATTCAAACGATTTTCCAAATATTATACAAACCGCCTGTTGTCTATCTCACCGCCCGCGATCGTTCTGCGTCTGCCCAGGACTGATTAATATTTTATTTCGATTTTTTTTTTTTTCGCAGACCACATATCGTGCGACGGATACGCGTGTATAGACAAAAGGCGAGTGCGCCGCTCGCAATGAGAGAGACAGAGAGTAATAACCGTCACCTCCGCTATATAGGTACTCGTCGCACCCGCGTGCAGACACGGAGAGACGCGTGGCGGCCGCGCGTTTTTTCACGTAGGGCACGGCGTGCGCTTAACGGTGCTAAAAAAAATTATATTCCGTCCGTCGGCGGTCGTATACACACGCATAAAAATAGAAAAAAAAAAAAACACCAAAAAAAGAAAAAGAAAAAAAAACAAGTGCTTTTGTATAATATTATTCCATTACGCCGATAACTCACTTTGATATTGCATTCTAAGCCGATGGCCGCGAACATCTCCTCGCTCTCCGCGTGGTGCGTCTTGTCCAAGTAAATCATGCCGGTCGCGTACGTGCCCGCCGGCGGCAAATCCACGTTTTCCCGTTCGCTGTAACACGTAAAATCCGAAATCGGGAACATATAAATAACACGATCATAGAATATTATAAACCCGTGCGGGTACGGACGAGTATGAGAAAGCGAGGACGGACAGGTGGAATTACGGAGGAAAAGCTAAAGGGCCGGATTACGGTCATCACTCTGAAGGGGGAGGGGCCCATATAATCTTGGCGGGGCCCTTTTACCCGGAACGGGTTTTTTTTTTCGATTCTGATTTATATTAGTTTTTATTCGACGTTCGGTTTTTTTTTTTTTAAAATATTAACGGCACTCGTTATATTTTATCGGTATAATATTGCATTACATTGTTACGAGGTACTCGTATTTAAAAAAAAAAAAAGAACCTAAGTGTGAATTTTTAAACATTTCTACACATGTTTCAAATACAGTTCCATCGGGCGGAAAACCGTATGTTTAAAGGTATTTGAGATAAAGTATTTTTACTAACCAAAAAAGTTTTTTCAAGAAAAACACATCCTTATAATCTAATAGCTTCTTCACTACACAAAATTTAAAAAAATTGAAAAAGACAAAACAAAAAACGACTAAATATTACCCCCTTTGTTTTGCGGCCCAGAGCCACAGTTCTCCCTCCCCTCCCATAATCCAATCCTGAGGAAAAGTGTGACGAACGTATATTATACAGTAATATGGACCGGTATATAGTGAGCAGATTATGGTTTCGGGTGTTATACGAAAAAAATTTGAAAGAAATAGACGAGATTATATTATTATGATGGGCTGCGAGGAAAAACGATCATATAGTGAATGTTCCCAACATTTTCAAGATTGCACTTTTTCCTTTTAACTCGGGCACTACGATTTCCAAATCTTGATCCGTGCATCAATTATGTTCAGGAACAAACCACGAGACGATGAAATCATATCTTTATTTTGATTGTGATCATTTTCCCCCGCGGCACTTTCTACATATATTGAGTATTCGGGTGAATGCTTGATATTACGATAGTAAGTAATGCTTTAGTAGACAATATAATTTGTATAAAATATTTTGTTTCTCGTATACCCATTAATAATACCTAATTAAACCGACTTAAACCGATTAGGTATTAGGAATTTTTTCATTTGAACGTGACAAAAATAACTCACTAATCGCATATAGTAAACAACGACGTTTGAACCGGTTTGAGTCATTATTTGGGTTTTTATTTGATTAATTCGATAATTTTCCCGTTTTTATAAAACTTATATTAACAATTCAACCCGATACGTAAATAAATAATAATATTATGTAAAATATTATATGAAATGCATCCGTACCTAGGTAGTTCTCAAATTCAATGTGTACGATTAGCCAAACAATTTGCTATTCATAACCCCGCGCACTCTGACTTTGTATATCGTAGTGCGTGATTTATGGAGTTGTATAAAAACAACCGTCGGGACAATAATGTACCTATATAATAGTGAATCATACTTGAAAACGATAAATTTGTATACTTTCATAGTTCAATTTCTAAAAACGTTCACGAAACCACGTATTTTTGAGTTGTGGGTGGGATGGTGTTACATATAATATGACCCTAAATTCTCAGTAGAGCAGATAAAATAATAAAAAAAAAATTACATTCACGGTTAATCATTGATACGATTAAACATGTACATTAACCTGTAGATTGATTTTTTACATATAATATAACAATTATTTTCAAGCGTTATCGAGATTATGAAGTAATAAGTTCAATTTATTTGAATGAGTATAATATTTCTAATTAATAAATTAACTATATTTTATCTCGGTAGCGCGTAGGAATTTCGTTAACGTAGGAAATATAAATTCAATTAGGGCCGAGAAAGTATAATCTACAACTATTTTATATTTTACCACTTCACTGTGTTGTACACCATAGTGACTTTTGTATGTTCATGGATTTAAAAAGATAAAATACTATAACAAATATACATAGGCATCTATAATAGATGTAAAAATACAAATAATTTCAATAATTATGTTCATCGAAAAAAATGTAATTATGTATAATATTTTGAATAGTGGCAAACGTAGACAGGGGAGTATAAAGTACTCAATAATTTTTACAATTAAAAAAAAAGGGGGAATATTCAAATTTCAATTTACAGGGTAAATATATGATATTTGTACAACTCCCGCCCCACCCATATCCTCCAAAATGTTTTCGTTCGCAACAGATTTTAGATTCTGAGTGGAACGAAAAAACTTATGGTTTTACACAAAAATGTTTTTTTTTTTTTTTTTTTAAATTTATGCGCAACTTTTTTCTCAGATATCTTGGTCGATATATTAAGTGTAGCGCCTTTTCTGAAAGGAAATTGTATCTAGTTAGTGAATTAGAAAGATGAGTTTTAGATTTTCCAAATGGTTTTCATAATAATTGAAAAAAAACGTAGACAAAACGGGAAAATTTACGAAATCATTATTTTAAATGTTGTGAATTTTTTTCGCCATTTTTATTCGGTAGGTACTTTGTGGATAAAATTTTTCGGCCAAACAGAAGTGCTTGACCTAACGAAAGGTTCATTATTAGTCGTACTTTGTGGTAGAAAAAAAAAAAATTGAGTGTAATGTAGTATTAGTATCAAATTTTAACAAAAATCATAAATATTACTGCCCTTCAAAAACATGTATAACCGAACTCTGCTCAGAATCGTTTTTCATTGGAAAAGATTAATTGTTACGTACAGATATAGGTACATTAAATTCCTCTGTATGTCCTACTTTCTCAACTTCTCACCTATAACAATGGCCCACCCATCATGCGAAGTATGTACGTATATTTTTTATTGCTATATTTATTTATGAATACTAGAAATACAAAAACCTTGTTCCTTTTACCCTCCAAAAAAATCTTAGATACGCTGTTGTTCCCAATTTCCTAGCTTTTTCAAAAACTAAATAATGTAATTTAAACACAAATGGGAAAATATAATATTATTCGTATACGTTTTCAAATTATTTCAACTTAAACGATTGCTTTATGGGGTAAAATGTAAAATGATGCGCTCTTGACGTGTTATTTTATACTTTGTCACGAGTCAACACATTTACGAGATAGTATATTATATTAATATTACTGACTGCCTGAAAAAGTAGGTGTAGGTAGATATAGATAGCAGTCGGAAATGATATTTATTGTTCAAATATTTGCAAAGTGCTAGAAAATGGCGGACAGTTTTTACTCTTTTATACTTGATATTTTAAAGCATCGTCGACATACTTTTCAAACCCGGTATGCAATATAATAATAATATATAATAATAATCGATAGCAAGAGCGACGACCGTACCTCGATTATATACGTCACGGCTAGCTTTTTTTTTTTAATCATATTATCGTCATAACGACGTGCACTTAAAAATGTATATTATAGACTAATATTCGATTTTATCGGTTTAATCTACATAATTTATAGACGAAATACAGAAAGAAACGCGTTGTATAATATTATCTTATTTCCTGTATTAATAGGGCGAATAAAATTGCGCTAGAATTTAAGTCGAGTTAAAGTGTTGTAGGCATAATGTTAATAAAATTAATTTTCTCCTGCAAGACTACGGGATATTTTCTCCCTCTCTTTCTTCTCTAGCTTAAAAGCCTCTGCTGTCAACACAACTTCCTTCCATCTGCCTCTATCTATCTAATACACTTTTTTCAACCAATATTTTCCGTTTTCTCCGGATCTCCTCTAATTCCATCCAACCAAGGCTTTCTTGATCTCCCCTCGACCTTTAATACCTGATCTATACATTATTATATCTACTCCGATCCTATTTTTCTTTTCTCTGTATAATGCATACCCAAACCTAAACCACTGCAGTCTCTATCATTTGATAAAACTTTTTATGCGCTGTAATTTTATTATCCTACGCAGTTTCTTTATACAATAATGAAATACATCATATTGAGAATATCATACGCTCTTTTAACAATGTATTTCAATTTTTAAAAACTGAGATGAAAAATTATTAAACAATATTGAATATATTTTTTATAATCACGTGTAAATCGATGTAAAATAAACATGTTGTGCTTTACACGCAGTATTATAATATGACCCCCTCCATAAAAAAAAGACGTATTCACGTTGAACATTATAATAGAATTATGTCTTTATAAAATATATTAAAATTATAAACTATAATCCACGCACTCTGTCGGTGGAAATTATTCCGTTTCAAGTCGTTATTTCTATTATTACATCGTCTCCTTTGAGGGAGACAAAATTAAGTTAGAACATCCACTCGAATTTCTGAAAAACCTATTTTTAAGATTATTAACTCTCGATTTAAGATCATGCGTGAAATTAGGACAAAGTCATCATTCTATGGATAATAAACAAATTTGGACGACTGAACTGCCCACGCCCATAACATTAGATGTACGTGAGACATTTGTGTAGTTATTTTCTGCAGTGGCGTATGGTCATAAATAAATTCTAAAGTAAACGTTTGAATATTAGAATTTATACATATATATTATTAAGATGTGACGTGAATGTTACCCTCGTACTTTCTTTATTTACTTTAAACAAAATAAAATTTTAAAATTCTATTTATATGAATATAATTTATAATTTGTATATCTATCTATACATATTATAAATAATTTAATGTGCCTACTGTAATATTTTTGGCTTAACATGGAAAATATTTCAATGTTGCTATTTGAAACATCTGTATCGCGATATTAGGACAATTTAAATTTTTTCTTAGGGTATAATATTTGACTTGCCTTGCTACAGCGAGGGTTCTATAATATTTGCAGATAACTTAACTTCAATAGACTTGATTAACCTACTTAATAATTCTTCTGTTTTATAGATAGATCGACTTATATTAGTTTAATGGGTTGATTAAAAAAGAAAACTAAGTGAGACTATAACAGCAATACTAAATTAATAAAAATGAAAATAAATGAAATATTGTATGGAATGTTATTTAAAAAAATATATATTCATCGTTTATTTTAGTATTCTTTTAATTTTGCTATTATCATTATAATTCATCACACTATACTATATTAAATATACTATACTATACTATACTATACTGCATTAAAAAAAAAAATAATAATATAATATAAATTGTGTCGTTTTATTTATATGAAACAATAGAAAATAATTATTGGTGAATATGCGTAGATTGTAGGAAATTGTTTAATATAGTAACAGACGACTATTGGCATGCATAAAAATATAAGTTACAATAAGTTACACATATATTATGTATACCTACTATATTAGTATACTATAATTCTCGAACGTGTATTAATGCACAGATTAAAAAAAAAAAATTGTTAATTAATGACGAGTGATTAGAACAAAATAAGTTTGCTAACTATTGACAAACCATATTATAATTTATTGCCTCAATAATATAAAGAATTAATAACAAAATTTAAAACCTACAGAATGATCGATTTTTCGAGAAAAATTAATTTATCAAATACCTATTAAGTCAAATATATTTTTAATTATTAATAGTTAGTAAAAATTAAATTTTTAAGTATTTGTAGATATTTGTAAAATGAATCAAATCCAACGTATAAAATTAATTTGGAAAAAAGGTTTTTTTTCGATTCAACCTAGAATTTTGTCGTATTTCTTGTAAATGTCCTAATTATTTCGTTTTGTGTTACTACGTCAACATTTACACAGCTAATTTGTTTAACATCAATAATGTCCATATTATTTTATTCGAGTTTTAATATATTTTAAATGATGCCAGAACGAAGTGAGAAAAAATAACAACTGTTTGAAAGGAGGGAGGGGAGGGAAATTTTTATGATATGAAAAAATAATAAAACTGTTTAGCGATCGTAAAAATAAAGTTTTATTTTGTCGACATAGGTCATAGACTATAATTGTATCAAATAACAACGAAAATATATCAACGTAATAATGCATAGATAAAATAAATATGTATTTTATAAACCAGCAGTGAGTTAGCATTTTATCGCTGGAAAAAGTTTGACGTGCGTTTAAAAGAAATGATGGTCAAGGATTTCATTGAAATAGTCTTATAGAAATAAGACACTTAAAAATACGAATCGTAATTGGAAATATTATACAATACGAGTATCTAAATTAGAAAAAAAATCACTTTTTTATGATGATATCTTACGAAATGAATGGAAATATATTATTATCAATAGCGTTATTTAGAATACGTTGAAAACATGTCGATATTCACTTAACGTTTATTGAGTACGTCAACAATAATATTGACGGTTTGTCCTTGTCAATATTTACTTATCTATGATTCTAGTAAGTATTATATTCTTATGTCAAATTTAAGACGGCTACAGGTAAGTTTTTGAAATATTAGATTTTAATATTGTTATATTGAAGTACATACACTCGTATACCAATTTATGTACATACTTAAATAATGTACTTATTAAAAAAAAAAAAACACTGACATTGTAATTGCAATGCTTTTTAAAGACCATCATTTAAAGTCCATTGCCCACGACAACATGCTGCTATCATCTCTCCCTGTTTTTAGGTTCTTCTTTGTGTCCACCGCGCCTAGCATTCTCAAATCTCACTCTGTCCCACCATTTCAGTTCAGAAGTTGTTCTTGGCCGTTTAGTATCCAGTTTCTATTTCGATATTTGTCTAAGTAATAATCCTTCCGATTTCTACACATGTTCAGTCCACCTCAGTCTAGTGTTTTTTAAGACTCTTATACTATTCCTGCTTCATCGTTTTATTTTGTTCTTCTAGTCTCTAACCTCCATAATTCATTAAGTCTACGGGTTATTCTCAATATGTTTTCCTTTCTAAAATTCCTAACAATTTTTCATCCAACTTGGTAGATTTTCGGATCCGATACAATTGGTTAAATTAAATCAAATACGAATTTAATTTACGGTGTCGTAGTATGGATCTGTAGTGATATTTTAGCGAATTGAACCTATTTTTAAGGGTTATCGTGTATATTATTATCTACCATCTTATATACGTACATGTAAATAAGTGATTTGGAATTTAATAGGGTAAGGGAATCGGGTGGAGAGGAGAAAGTACTAATTCAATTTGCCAATTGCTCGGCGTAAATGCGTAATACATACACAGGTACTATTATGAATATTGAAAAAAATGTATAAAAAACCTTAGTTCATGGGCGTAAAACGAGTGTGGTATGGATGTCAATACACCGGCGCCGTCGCCGGAATCGTTATCGCACGAGCATGCGCCTCGGTGATTCATCCGCATGGCCAATTTTTGAGCGTCGCGAACAATCTGGGGAAAAAATAAACAGTTTTTACTGAAATATATAATATAAAATTGTATATATTCCGATGATGGAATGGCGCAGCGCGATGGGTGTGTTTTTGTGTAAAAGGTTTTAGAGTGTTACGAAAAATTATTTACACATCGTGTAATGTATCCATTGAACCCTATAACATTTTTATAACGCTTGTATCCACGTGTCAAACGAACCTTACGCCGTTTTTAGACCGTAGATAGGTAAGCAGGTAGGTGAGTAGATACGATACGGGGGAGGAGGAGGATAATTCAAATCCAAATTCAAGTTGATTGATATGTCATAAGTCAAGCGGAACGCCAAAAAAACATATTTATATTTTATAATCGACGTGTCTTTTTTTTTTTTTTTTTTTTTTAGTATATTATGGAAGTACAATTAACCATATAAGTCTGATTTTACTGTGGGCGTGCCACTGAGTAATTTAATTTATATCTGTACGCAACGATAAACATCTGAATAAATCATTGCTAACGAAAAACGATTCTGAGCAGAGTATTATAAGTAATTTTTGTTCCTTGCTGCCAAGTTAACTTGTAGGAATCAATAAAAAAAACAATTTCCCAATGAACCAACTAGATCAAAATGGTACAGGAAAGTTCCAATAAAATTGGATCTCTAAATAGGTACCATCTATCTCTATTTTAAGTCGAATGATAATGTTATATGCTGATCCACTACTCTTAGGTCTTTGGTTACTACATCAATTCACCGATATCTGGATCTGCTTAGGGTACTTGTTCTGTTCATTTTTTCCACTAGTACTTTCTTTATCAGTTGACCATATGCTCTTTAGGTGTGGCTAAACTATTCTGATAAACGATAGAATGTTTATTTTGATGTAGTATATACGTCAATTTAATATTTTTATATAATGATGATTTTATAATTTCTGCTGAAAGCAAAAGAAATTTAGTGAAATAGAAAAAATAATACTGAAATATTTTAGGTACACTTCAAAGTGACACATACTACTATATTTTAACAGATAATTGTGAACCGATAAAATATTTAAAACATTATGTATAGAATGGATGATATTTTTCTATTTTGTCGTAAATTTAACATGGTTTAGGAATAGTAAAAAAAAATACTATAAATTTCAATAAAAACCCTATTGGTTATAATTAAAAAATAACTGTATTAGGATATACTATTGCCGTAACGTGACCTTAAAATTATTTTTGAACTTTACGAAAATATAATTGTAAAAATGCTGATTCAGACTAGTAAATCCCAAATAAATTAACATATAATACAAATTATTTTAATTTTCTGCTAATTAAGCTTTATTTTACAAATTCGAAAAAAAAAAATCAAACTTGTCAAAGAAAACGGATCACGTCATCGAATACGTGTTTAAATGGCGGTTAGTTTTTTTTTTAAATAAACGATAGTAAATAAAATAGACGTTTAACAAATACCCAAGTTTAATCAATCAATCAATTATATTTTAAAGAATTTGCAGAGTGGACAGTGAATAATTTAACGAATTTATTCATACAATCACCGGCTAAGTCAAATAAGGTCGACAGAGATATCGCGAAGAAAAATGTATGCAAATCAATTTAAATAATTTACATTATAATTGAAGCTCATCAAAGTACCTTTACAGCTATATACCTACGTTCGATACACCGTATTGTCTACACAATTGAATACAAAGTGCAATAATTATCATCATAATTATTATGTGTTACTTAATAGAAATTAGATATTACGAGCATCTTTAGAGATAAACGATATAATTATTATTACAATTATTACACACGATTCGAACGATTAGGTGATAAAAACATTTAAAAAGTTTCGTGTTTGTTTGATTTGCGATTGAATAGGCGTGTAAATTGTAGGTACTCCTAATAATATATTATATTTAGACTTTTGTACACCGCAATTGATCGAAAATCACTATAAGTAATAATATGCATATTATCACCCAAGTTTAATGTTATCATAGGAAAATTCGCAGATATATTACTTGCCCCTACCAACCGATCTTTATGTTAAACTTAATATATTAGCTTTGGAATTAACTTTATATTAAACATTTAATAATTCGATTATTATTTTTATTATTATAATAATTATACAATAAAAAATAACTATCGAGATAATAGAATAAAAACTAGCGTGTTCTTTAAAAACTATAGATAAAAAAAAATAATAATAATAATTTAAATAGTATTGTTTAATTTGTTTATCGCGTGAACTGAAGTGCGGAGAAAAATTATTATTAATATTCAAAGTTAAACACATAATGTGTTATCATACACTTGTTATCGGAAGTATTAGTTTACATATTGATGATTTTGAATTAGTTATTTATGTTATAATATTTGAACAAATCGCGTCTATTGTACAACTACGATTTGCATACTTCTCATATTAAACACAACGCCCATACATTAGACCAATACGAATCGAGAGGACAAATGTGTCGGTACCGAAGTAATATCGATTTTAAAATTTCCTAAATACTAAACGATACACCGCGAAATTTTTTAGAACATTCGAATAGATACGTCACAGCTAGGCGCGTTGTTTAAAACGCGTTTAACTAAATGGTAAAATGTCTGTGTAATCAATTTTCTTTCTAGTAGACTGGAGTATAGACTACTGTTTTTCATTTTTATAATACATATTACTTGTACTGCAACAATACGTTTCTCAGGATTTGAAAAAATAAAATTATTATTTTAACATTACCATTGGTTACTAGCGTCAAATACTTAGGGCATATAAAACAAAAACGTCTTTTGTTAAACTCTAGACAAAAGTCTCTATACGCACTTTTAGGTAAACATTCAAAATTTAACCCGAATAATAAACTGCTGCTATGCAAAACCCTTCTGAAGCCTATTTGAGGACTATAACTTGTGGGTACATTGGAAATTATGAAAATGATAACATCTATTACATATGAAAAGCTTGCATCCGCGTATTTCAACCAATAACACACGACAATAGTGTTAAGTGTTATTTTCTAAAATGATCACCTGTAAAACTACAAAAACTGAGATACGCATTGTTGCAGAATAAGCTTAGACATATTTTCACTCTCGGTTATAGATTTCCAGTGTGATTTAATGTTAATTAATAAAAGAGAAATTAAAAAAAGTCATAAATTGGCTATCCCGGTTCTAACAGTTAAACCATAGTATTATATTATAAATTTGTATGTGATTTTTAGCATTTTGCTGTGCAGCAGATAATTTTAATTGATTATTCATAACAACTTTAATATCAGTAAAGCAATTCGGCGTGACATATTAATGGCATTTTTCGACTTGTCGAACAAAAACAATGGGATTCGGACATTTCTTACGTAAGTGGAAAGTAATTTCGAAAATGTGTATTCAATGGCTTCTCGTTTCAAATCTATTTCGGTGTTATTTAATTTCGGTAAAACAACAGCGTTTGATAAACTGCAAACGATTCGATTGCATTTAATATTAAAGTTCTGGAGTTCAACCCCGGGCTTAATCAATAAAAAATAAGTAAATATATATTATATAGGTATATATATATATATTCCTTTCGGTTAAATTATCATCAAAGAACGTCATTGAAATTTTCCGTCACACGAGCGAGAACACCGATATCATATCATGCAATTGCTTGGCGTCGATAACAATACGGATTTGATACGAATAATTACTGAGATTCAAGCACATAGAGCGAGGAAAAGTTCAATAACGGAAAAAATGACAATACCGTTTTAATGAACGAAACGCCATGGTTAAAACCGGGAGCCGGTATTGATCCAGGCACTTACACAGCAACTATATTTTAGTCATGAAACGTGATTATTTTAAAACTTGTAAACAATCCATACGCTGTATTATGTTCTCGTACATTTTTTATGATGGCATCAGTGTAATGATAACATCATAAAATATTAAATAAACATAATTTTCAGTATTTGTGATGGCGAGACTACTATATAGATGACATCGAATGTAAATTATAATACAGATATTATCTCCCTTAATACACCAAAAAAATCTGCTGTCATAAAAGATGCCCCGATTGAAAATTGAAGTTAGGTTTCTGGAAGAAAAATTATTAACAAATAGAAAAAAAAAATGTACACACCATGATAAAACCTAATACATTTTTCGCAGTGTTCAGAAAACAAAAATAAATGATAACAAATCCATCACAATTCAACCGAATTTGCAAGGTGTTGAGTGATAATAGGTTTAGAGTGTGTTGTCATCGAAGATTTTTTATTTAAAAAGAAACCGAAACCACGCAGGTGGCATCACTGCAGACGAATTTATATAGGAACATAATTATAATATAATATAATTTTATTTGATTGGAATATAAACGTTAAAATTTCGCAAAATGAAATACACTGCAGTTCGGTGTATTATCGTGGAAGAGATAGTCTATTGACATAATGCAGTGTTAACTGCAGCTTAAAATGTAACTAGGCCAGTACTGCAGCTGCATTGTTGCAGTTTTAAAATGTAAAACTCTTGGCGTGAAAAATTCGCTTTATTAAATTTATAGTTTTCAAACACCGTGTATAATGTATATAGATAGAACAAATTTAATTATACGAGTTTCCAACGGTTATGTATTATAATATACGCCGTAGCGACTATTGATCGGGGCGAAACCGTTCACGCGGAAAACCGGGATATTTATTCACCGACACTTTCTTCCGTTTTCGAATTCAAAATTAAAAAATTAAGTCCGCCGGCACGTTTTTGGATAGCGGTTTCGATCAGTTGTCTTTACACACTAATCTCATGTATAGGATTAGTTAGGGACGTCATTTTAATATATTTTGTTTTTATATTCTGAGCGAAAATAGAAATGTATTGATTTTACAGTTTTACCATGTGTTTAACTTTTCTAACAGAAACCTTGCTCTAATCAAAAACTTTATAAGAACACTCTTGTAGAATTGAGAAATTTAGACTAAAAATCTAGTTGGCAAATTGGAGAGGTTATGATTTTCTTAATAGGTACATGGGAAAAACTAACACATTTTTGTTTATAATATTTGTTGTAACCTTGGAAGCAAGGGGAAAAATACCACTATAATAATATTTTTTAGTTAATAATAATGGTTTATCGTTGCGTACAGACATAAATTAAATTACTTAATAATATAATCCTCCCTTCCAATTTCTTACCTAAAACAGTGGCTCACGCGACTGTATCAGCTTTTTTTTTTTACACGAATTCGTTATATCTAATTTTCCGCATACCTATCGGGGCATAAATACTCGTATTATGTTTAAGTATACAGAGTTATTTAAAATAATTAATCCGATTTAAAATGGTTATTATACACTCTATCTTATCAAGTTATATACAAATAAATAGAAGGAAATTCCAAGTCTTATAGAATGATAATAATTTTCCAAATAGTATTATTTTATTTGACGCAATCATATTATATTACGGTAAACCCCAAAAACTAAATATTGCGCTATACGGCACTCGGTATAATTTTGAACAACCTGTATTATATTGACACACGTGTAGGACTTCTCGTCAAAGTATAAATCGTTCGTAAACAATTCTTATCCCTCTATACGAGTTCTGGAGTGATTTTTTTTCCAAAGTGTCGTAAATCGTAATTAAGCTTACGCCGATATTTATATCGTAATTAATATTAGACACTTACCAAGTACATATGCATTATTATAAATAAATAATAATAACCCGGCCGATTCAGAAACGAATATCGAAAACGATGGTAGCGACGATGGTGTAAGTGGGTCAAGTGTACGACTGACGGGTGCGGGGGGAGGAGAGACCGGAGAGGGGAAAATCGTTGTGGCGCCGGCGACGACGACGGTGGCGTCGGGAACGAATCGAAAACGCAGTTGGCAACGTCCGGACGGGGCCCGGGGCGAGCGCGCAGGCTAATACGCCGTCGCAACCGATCGATCCACAAGTTTCCCCGAAACCGAGGCACCCGCCGCCGCTCAAAACAATAATAACAACGAAAATATGATTTCGATATACACGCGTGCGGTCCGTAGCACTCGTATAATATATTACCCTGTCATCCGAATTTCTACTAAAAGGTGGATCTGTCGAAGGGTTCGCTGGATACCGAATTATTTAGAATTTGTTGGACAGCGGAACATATGTTATTATGACCATACGACTGCAACTCGTTTCCTGCTATATTATTAAACAGAATGGACACCTCATTCCACACACGCTTTTCAGTGTGGACGGCCACTCCTCGGCCCGGTCGTTTTTCGACATTAATTTCGTCCCGAAATCCCTCATTCGTCACACATCTTTGAAATTCTTAAAGCAGTAAGACATTATAATCTCGATTGCACGGCGAGGCGTAAAAAAACATTATTTTTCTTTAGGTTTTACACAAGTACAAACAAACTTCGAATTGTCCTTGGCAATTTTGTGTATCATATTAACCATATACTAGGCATTATTGTATATGGACAGTTTTTACAAATACAGTGATACGGTCATAACTGATAATATCGAGAAAAAAAGGCGAGTATACACCTTTATACGGTTGACTCGTAGATCTTAATTGATTGACACGTATCCACAAGTATAATAGGTTATAATGGCGGTGTTGGACCCAATCTAACCTACACAGCCGGTTATCGCCCGTTTCTAGGCGCTTTTGTTTCGATCATTTTTTCTCCGGGAATCACGCGATATAATTTGCTATTCCGTACTCGTGTGTACCGTACACCGTGGTACATGGCAGACACACCCGCCAAACGGTATAACTATACGATAAAACGTGCGAATTTCGACTTTTTTCCTACCGACGGTGATAGGAAAATAATACGACGCGTGCAATGGGTTATCACGTCGTAAAACTGACAAAACACCGCATGTCCTCCGAGCACTAAACCGTTCGTCCAGAACGCTCGCAAAAAACAATTTTATTTTAATACATAAGATATACAAAACGAAATACCTACTCGGTTATATTATTATATTTAACCGGCAGTTCATGTTAGAAATAACCTGTCCTAGGGGTGTCAATACCATTGAGGTATTGTTCACAGATCATAATTTTATAATATTATGTTCGACTGCAATTTCCCGAACCGTAATTGTTTGTGACAACCGAATCGTATATTATAATATTATAAAAACTGCGATCCGTCTGTCTGTAACGCTTTACTGATTCGCCTACCATGGCAACCAAATACAAAATCCACTACAACTCGCCATACGATGAGCTTACAACTAGTTGAATAATAATAAAAACCGTGTTTCGTGTATATTTTTACGAAACATTAACTTACGTACGAATAACTATTTATTTTTTCACTTTTTAAAATTGTCAAAATAGCCATTTTGTAATATATATTATTGAATGAATTATTGACTTGAATGTAAGTATTATACATTCATATCTGATTAAGTGTTTCTTTGCTATAGTGGTTTTAATGTATAGAAAATAGGCGTGAAACCAATTAATATTTAATAGAAGATAAGGAATTACCGTGCTGATAGTGATTCCTTATCACGTAACGTCTTATTATATTGAAAATTAATTGTTTTCACATCAATTTTCTAGAAATTTAAACGGTTATTAGTAAGAAACTTTTTATCAAATATGTAAGTTATATGATACATCAAAATGTTGAAAATAATTTATTTTACAAATTGCCCGTTTTTAAAATTTTAAAAAGTGATAAAATAAAAATTTAATTTTTTTCTACATTTGAATCTCCCTGACACAATATCTGATTTAGACATTTTTTTTTATAAAAATGAATATTGACAAAATTATTAGCATTCAAATAACACTGTAGGACACCTGTATATACGTAGAATTACGTAAGCTACTTATGCCCAGAATTTAACTATGAATTCAGATCAAGTTTGGAAACGAAATTTGCAGCAAGCGATAAAAACATTAAACTGCCAACTGTAAGCACCTAGTATAATATACACATATAGTATGTACTATAGGTATATGGTTTTAAATTGAAAGTGCTGAAAAAACATTGAAAATATTATAAATTTGTACAAACACCGACAAGTGACATTAAATCCTTAAAACCGGTTACTCAAATTAACATATTTTAATCGTATTCAAATAATATATCGTTATGTATTTATTATTATTATTTATGACACCTTGTTACATAACCAAAATTACACATTAATTTTTCCATGACAGAAAAGAGTATATACACTATTCTAACGAACGAATGAAATTTGTAGTCAAATATATTATATGTTTTGTTAATTTATGTTGGCATTGAAAATTGAATGCACCCATATCACCGATCAGTGGCATGTAAAGGGAAAGGAGGGAAGATTATTTTTTTATATTTCTATCCACCATGACTTAAAAATACAACAACTATGAGTAAATTTATTTATTATTCATTTTTTTTTTTTTTTTGACATTATATATATTTCTGCCAAATCGCGATTGAAAAAAAAAAATGTATAGAATAAAAATTGTTTTTTTTTTTGGATCAGGTTGTTAAATCCTCATTATTGGTTTACGTATAACATAAGACCGAATATACGATTTAATCACAAATTATGATTATTATTTACTACCACCACATCCCAATGAAAATCCCTTGAGCACGCCACTGTCACCGATTGCCGCGGATTTAGTTTTAAACAATTTTATAATAATTTAAATAAATATAATTATAGTTTTTTTTTTTTTTTTTTAATATTAATACAATTATTTATAAAAATAACTCAATACCTTTTAAGACTTATAAGCGCATCATTATTTTAAATTCGAGTTTTAGATTTAGTGTTCAAAAAACAATGAAATGAAATAAAATCTTTTGCTATCAGTCTAATAACGAGTTAGGAATTCTTATTTTTTTACTATTAATTGTTTGTAAAGATACGATAAATTTATTTAACTAGCTACAAACTTCTGTTTGTGGATATAATAGTAAATTGATGTTAATTGTTTAAAAAGAAAATCAATTTTGTTTGAATTATGATGTAATAATACAAAATAATATCTAAAGTCTGCATTGCATATTATTATACTATTAAGTAAGTTATTAACAAAGCTTATTATTCTGCTTATAAGATAATGTAGTTATTAAAGTGCGCTACGCCGAAATCTTACGTGCAGTGTATAGTATAGTAGCTAATAATAATGACATACTTTAAGTTAAATTTAACTTTAATTTGTTTAATCAATGTATAAAAGTATATAGTGTGCAATATACATTTAACGGGGAACCGATTTCATAAGTTTTAAATATTGCCATATTGATTTATACATATTGAGTTTAGCAGTAATCGGTATAATATATTTGATTCAAATCAGAACGATTAATATTGACTAAATTAATTTCCAATTTTCAAGGTATTGACAATCCGGCGCCAATATAAACTAAAAATAATAGTTATTCACGATACATTTTTAATGTGAAATATTTAGAAATTATTATTGTTTCTAAAATTATTTGTTTGTAAATAATGCCATCAAAATACAAGTATATTATATCTCAAGTCCCGGAGAAGGAGGAATAGATTGTATAGTTTTTTAAATACAATTAATTTTGAAAAAACATACTTCACGTATGTTATTTTGATCAACAAATAAAAGAAAAAGTTGTGCAAGACAAAATTAAAAAGAAATTCTCAAAATTGACTAAGCCCTTCTTCTCTGGAACCAATGATATATTAATGCATTTCTGATAAATTTTAAAATTTTTAATAAACGATACCGATAAATAAGTCATTTAAATTGGCAAATAAACGAAAACAAATAATTGGGCATATTTATTAGAAACATCACACAGTATATAGCATACGAAAAATGACTTTATTTCATAATGTTACTAAAAATGTCATAATATTAGGTATATTTATCAATAATGTCAAAGTGCCAAAAAAATAAACTATTTTTAGTAAATTTTTCAATCGGCTTTTTGGGGAAACGTACGTGTATACCTACCTATAAGGCTATAGTTCAATTGCATCCCCATTTAGTATAATAAATATTATATTCGTATATATAAATACATTGTTCCACTTATTAATTATTACTTCAGACATTGTAACTCTATTTTGACACTTAAACAACGATTGTATATCCATAAAGCTAAGTATACAAGCCGAAATTGTTAACAATATATTTTACATATAGATATTTTATAGGTATAGGTACACAGGAGCCAATAGCCAATAAATTAAATACCTACCCCATTTCTGAATAAGTCGACGTCATATCAATAATTTTAGCGTGACAGCTGCTATACTGTCATAGCAGGTAAGTACTCGTCTATAAATTTCGATTAATGTTAATTTGTATTATTTAGAATATATTTTAAATCGTATGACATTGATGTATACGTTTGGGTTTATGAAATTCACGGTTTTGTATAATATAGGTAACTTACTAATAACTCTACTACACGGACGTTCAAATAATTTATGAATTATTTTACTATATAAACGTGCCCGAAAGGCTTCTTTTGTGCCAAATTAAATATCGTGATTGTAATCCCCCACCTTCCACTTCCCTTCTACCGCACAATAGCATGTCTGTTTTTTGGCTTATGATTTTAGCTACACTATTGTAGATATAGTATTTTATTTAATTTTAATATATTTTTGAAAATCTGAACCCATGTTATTTCATTTATTTTTACAATCTCTAACTATATGACTAAAAAATTGTATCTATTGATGGATCTCTGCTGCTCACGGGTGTATACATTTATACTTGGTCCCAAGGAAGAATGGCTAAATTAAAAGCAAATTATACATTGTATCATATTATACTTTTAAATCTTGGGTCAAAACTCAATTTTTGCATGAAAATTTGATACAATATTTATAATTTGATGTTTGTTTTCTTATGCTACAGGGACGATGTTTTGAACACTAAAATTACAAAAAAAAAAAAATAGACCGATGTCGAAAATAAAATATTTATGGTATTTCTTATGTGATTATTTTCTAAGTGAAGAACCTGACAATATTAAACCTGCAATAGCATAAGGTAATTAAAAAAACTAAGATCGGCTCTTCTTGAATCGAAGTCTAGAGTTGTACATAAACATTGGTACACATTAATACACTATATATATCTAGTCATTTTGAAAAGGCATTCGCTTATTTAGACCAAAAAATAAAGGGAAAATTACATTAAATAAAATTGTATAGCAAAAAATTAGCGAAAACTGATTTAACCATTTTTTCCCCGGAAACCAAATGAATATCAAAAAAATATTTAATTTTCAACCGAGTAACCTGTAAAGAATAAACCATTAAAATATAATTTTTAGATTGTACGATCAAAAATCAAGGGATAACCCATTAAGGGGTTGAATTCCGGCATAAAAAATAGCCTACCTGTGTCCGTATTCGAGAAGCGATGAGCGATCTCCCGTACCCAAGGTTAGGTTAGGTTTATCATTTATCAAGATCGGTTTAGCCGTGAAAAGGTAACAAACAGACGGCCACACTTTTGCATATTTTATACATTATAGCGAATAACGTTCGTTATATGTATAAAATATAATAATCATATTTTGTTTTAAAAATATTACGATACGAACGAAATTATAAAAATAAATATACATCGAGATTAAGGTCACTACTATATATTATTATAATAACCTAACGGTTTTAATGTGATGGATTGGATATTATGCACGCGCGTGTACCTAATAATTTTACTATGGAATTTTAATAGGATTTAACAATATCTTTACACGATTTTTTTTTTAAAATTCTTTTACGTATAAGCAGGTGTTGAGATCGTGCTAATTATGAATTTTTAATTTTACCGGTTAGCTGTAATATATATATTGTATAACGACGGTCGGAAAAGGGGGTGTTATGAAGAATTGAATTTGTACAATTTGGCATTCAATAATTATAATGAATACCTAATAGATAGACAATACATATAATAATGTAATCTTTTATAATATTATGTATTACTTATATTAAGTTAACTTTAAAAAAATAAAATAGTAATTACGAAGAATAAAAAAAAATAAAAATTATGGCAAAACTAATTGAATGTTAAGTTGAAATATTTTTTTTAGGTTTGTATTTTAAATTATTAAAAAATGTTTCTATATCTATAAAATTCGCGTGGTACGAGCTATTTACTTATTGTATTTATAGTACTTTTACTACTATATAGTTGCGTTCTGTGGCGTAATAAAAACAAAAAAAGTAAATGTTTTTTCGAACCCTAAAGTTTTATTTAGGTAATGAAAAACTATTGCGCAACGTTACAGTATTTATACACCGCTAAACTTTTTATCAATTTATTTCATTTTGTATTTTTCAAATTGCAGCGAAAAATTATTTTTGTGTTCTGTTATACACTATTTCTTAATACTAATATTATATTTTGAACGCAATGTGCACCGCAAAATTTACAAAATTGTACAAGACATTGTTTAAAATAAAAAATAAATTCTGTTTGTATTAAATTTCACATTTGTAAAAAAAAAGTAATTATTTATTTAAGGTACATATAGTTTAAGTGTAAAAATTGCAAATAGTTTTAAAATGAAGCTTTACCGATTCCACAATGATTAAAAAAACAGAAATCAAATTTACTTAAAATCCTCCGATAAAACTGCTGGTTCATGACAAAAAAAAACATCCTTTATTGAGGAGAGAGCTAATCCATTTGATTTGTTTTCTGAGTTTGCAATCTATAATATATTTTAAAACGTTGATATTATAATTTATAAATGATAAACAAAAAATTAATATCAACATTTTGTTTCTAAACATTTATACGGTTCAAGGGTGAGTGGGAATTGGTCTGAACCCGGAGTCTTCCTGCTCTTGGACACCGTCTACTGCAACGGTGTTTTATATCGCGTTTAAAGTATCGCAATTTCAGCTGTTATTTCGAAATAATTTTATTTTGATAATCGATTAGCCATTCGGACTGTTATGACGGTGAAAAATTGTCGATCAGTTGTTATCGTCAGGCCCGAACTGTAGGTAAATTCTGCCATTCCATACATTGGGTTACAGACTACAATGTATTAATATACTATAATAATATTATAATATAAAATGAAATATTCAATAAAGTATTTTCATTCATATAAAAAGAAAAATATCAAAAAGTACTAGGATATTTCGAAAATAATAGCACGTCTAGAAAGTGCTAATATATTAAAGTAATGTAAAACAATTAATGATGATAATATCATGTTGAATTATTGAAACAAATTGTTTTATAATTTGTTTACTTAGTAATAGATGTATTATGTTAGAGAATTAAAAACACATGTTAATCTAATTTTGACCGATTGGGCCAAATAAATGATAGTAACCCAGCATCCGGGCCAGCCCCCGTATACGATTACTGGACAGTCGCAAAAATCAGTACCGATTTACATGTCCAAAAAAGACACGTCCCGCGCAAAGTCGTCAAACATGTGTCATATAGTTATTACTATACAACCGTCAGATGTCTGATATATTTATCAGACGTCTGTCGGTTGTGCCTATATACGATCGGGGTACACGGGCTGCGACCAATCGTAGGCTCGCGTTGGACAAAACCCGGACAATTGAATATTTTGAAATTGGGCCAACGCACGCAAATAACCGTATACGAAAATAGAAGAGCCGTAATACGGAACAATAATTATACAAAATAAAATCCCAAGTCAGACAGTATCGCGCGCGTCATAATGTACGGATTCAACCGTCCCGAGCGCGACTGCTCAAGCTGCCGCCCTGCGCTTGATTGCCGTTGACAATGCAAAAAATAAACGTAACCTAATCTCAATACTATGCAGATTTGACAATTTGTTGACGAATTTCGTTTGCGTGCAAATCTCTTCTCCCCCTACCGTCTTTCCGACTCATTTGTTGCGGATAATAATAAATACTATACGATTTCCGTTGCGCACTGCGACCACATAGTAGTGCTCACGAGAGGAGGGGGCATCATATCCTCTTTTGGCCATTTATTTCTTTCATTTAACAACTCATTCGTGATTTATGAATAATTATAGTCTTTTTAAACACACATATATAAAAATATGAAATAATAAATAAATAATATATATATATATATATTTATATTGAAATTTACTGACAATGAGCAATACATAAATGATTATACATTACAAAATGACATAACACGATGCATTATTTGCAGGCAAAATAAAACGCATTTAAAAAAAAGTTATTAAACGAAACAAATCCAGTAAGGAAAACGGAAATAAATTAAACCGTAATACAAATAATAATAATAAAACAAATAGTTTTATAATTCCATGGTTATAATAATTCTGTTATCGAAAATGGTGTACTCCTGATCAGTGATAACTAACTGTCAATAATAAATTAAGCTGTACGAGAAATCTCTAATTATTATCTATTGGTTTTAGTGTTTATAAATATGTGAATATGATTATCAGTGATTTTATTCTGATATTTAATGTTTACTGATATAGTTTTAGCTGCCCGAACTTTTAGGATATGCACTAACATGTTGTTTTAAAGTAACTTGTAACTTGTTTTTGTTATAAATGAAACACATTGTTAATAACTAAAAATCTATATATATATATAAATAACATGTCCTGACTGACTGATTGACTCATCACCTACATTATTATCTAGCAATAGGAAGCATATCCGGGCAGCTATGTACTATATAATAATATTAAATTTAATTATAAGATAATATTTTAAATATCTAATCTTATATTTAATATTTTTATTTTAAACTTCAGAAAAAAAAACGTTTAAAAAAGAGCTGATACTGGGGATGTAAGCGGCCACCGTTGTAGGTGAGAAGTTAGGAAGGTACAACGATACACACGGACGAGAAAGTAAAATTATTTTAAAAACGTATGTCATATGCAAATTTTGTCACAATTTTGGTTATTATTTATTATTATTAGGTACTTTTAAAATGGAGTCGTTTCAATATTCTAGTAGGCCGGATCAAACTTACCACATTTGCTGAATGATATGAGAAAAATAATTATTTAAGTAACGGAAAAAAAAAAAAATGTTCTTAATTATTGCTTTTTGTACTTCGGATTTTCGTCTTTGCAAAGAAAATGATCTATTCATTTTTTCGTTACGTTTAACTGTACAGGTGGGTCACGGGTGCCCGGGTGTTCAGAAATATAACAAAATTTTTTATGTTTTTTAAAAAATGAAATTCATCAAAAGAGAATTTTAGACTGCGGAAATTCGATAAATTTGACGAATTTTATTGGGATTTGTTAAATTTCAATACGTTTACAGTAGGGTGGAGGTATTTTGAGTCGTGATGGGCGGGTGGATGGATGGATGGGAAATGAAACCGGCGATTCAAAGTAAAAATGCATCGAGCCGCCACTGATGGCCATCATTAAATGTTTATCCATTCACAGTAGTTTTATTCGTATCGTTCGTTTCATTGATAGAATATTAACAATGTGAAAATTGAACAGCTGCTCGCGTATATTACGTACCATTATACGGATGGTTAAAATAATACAAATGTAAACTCTCAGATAATTCAACGTTACGGTGGTACCTGCACTATATAGTTATATCAAGTACCGTACATTAAAATAAATATTGACACTTACGAGTCGTAGATAAATGTTGATATTTTTTGAACATAATATCTTTCGACGTTTCGAAAAAAAAAAAAAAAAAAAAAAAAAACGTTAAGTTTTCAACAAGCCTATTGTTTTCGTTACGCGGCCACGGTGCACGGTAAAAGTTTTTTAAATAATAACAATAATTAGTGTGTATTCTAGAAAAAAAAAAAAAACTCACAATAATTATTGCAAACACACACATACCTACTCACCGACAACACGGCGATTCGGGTGTATCTTTAATACACGCGCCACGTATAAAAAAATCGCGATTTACGTAATCGTATGCTCAGCCTAATTAACTGCCTATAGAATACAATACTGCGATAATACCGTCTGTAAAATAATACAGACGACACAATGGATAAAACACGCTGTAAAAATGTTGAAAGTAACACAATATACCACGTGTCACGTGCCGCGCGTACTCGTATAATTATGCCTACCCGACTGCCCGTTTTTGTGTTAATTACAGTCGCGATTGTTATTGTGGTTTTTTTTTTCCTCCGAAATCGTCGGGGCGTTGATTTTCATTTTATTTATTGATTTAGAAAAAAAACCGATGCCCGATCCATCGCCACGGACGTTTCGCTGTTATACACACGTCGATCGGACCGACGGAACGAAAACCGTTCCGAACATCCGCTGCGTGTTGTTTTATGCGAAGACACAACACGAATGATTTTTCAAGAATTACGATAGTAGAAAAAAATGAAAAAACACGCCTAAATGACGTCACGACGTTATAGAATGTAAAACACGACGTAAAACATCAATGGCCCGTGCGTACGGATAATAACGCGCGTGTCTGTTGAACAGATAAGAACGATACGATAATAATATTATCATTATTATTATTATTATTAGGCGAATACCCGTCACAGGTTACGGTGCACGTGGCAGTTTGGGGTTTGAAATTGCTAAAAAAAACAAAACGGAACGGCGAAAATGATTTTTCACTGTTCGTCGGCGGTAAACTTTACGGGGCTTGTGTAACGCACCGCGGATAAATGACCCGAGTAAAAACGCGGAGTAAACGCGCGATTTTTAGTTTTCACTGAAATGCAGATAACGGCGCGTTCAACGTTATTATATTATCATGAGCAGTACGGGTGATAAATCATCATAATAATTATTATGTCGATTGATGGCGCACGTATGAGAAGGAAAACGTAATTTTATTTAAAATACGCACCCATACCTTCTTATAGTGCCATTATAAAATGACGGTTTTGATTTTTAACCGTTCGAAGATCGCGCGCAAATTGCGTAAAAGCGTGTTAAATATGCGTAAAAGAGTGTTAAATACGCGTAAAATCGTGTTTAATACGCATACACAAAATTTCAATTATACATTTGTTACGAACGTTTCACGATCGGTTCTAAATTAAAAAACAAAATAATATTTTTCTCTAAACGAATTTCACGCACATAATACGTACAATCGCGAGTTTATTTTAATTTAGTTTTTTATTTTAATTACTAGCCCATCGTAAAAAAAAAAAATATTTAATTTTTGAGATAAAGAGTTCAACGTTAATCTTGACAACTATAATATTATAGTGCACAAATCGATCGGTCAAAGGCCAATCGATTCCGATAAAATCTTTTGATCCCTAATTTCCACTAGGAATCTCACAACGATCGAACACGAGTGCTAAAATAAAAACCAACCTGCCCAACAAGTAACTGCTAATACGTCGCTTTTCGAACTTTTTTTTATCGTACACTCGTACTTACCTGGTTACCGCGTACGGTTTTAATAATATCATTACCCACGTGCTACGTGCCATTTATCGCGTTGATGATTCAGCGTGTACCAATCGTATTTTCCCTCGTATGTTTCTAAATCCGTAGACCGGCGGTTTTTACCGATTCCGGGTGTTCAAAAACAGAACGTTATTATTGATAATGTGGACATGATGTATTTTAATCGAATACCCAGAAAAATAGATTCGCATGTTCCGTTATTGTATATGAAAAGATTGTAAGGTATTTTTATGCATTTACACAAAGGTTAAAAACCACAGTCATATATACATTCGATTTATATTGAATTCGTCGAAATCGATAACGGATCGTTTAAAGGATACCATCAGCACCTGTAATGGGTCTTTGATAATCCGCAGGTAATAGATATTCCTGTAGTTCCCATCGGCGTCCCTTTCGGGCTATTTCGTTATTCAATATCGTAGATTAGGTCACTCGCCGAACCGTTTACAACGATAATTGTATATTGTGTTATCAATCGTAGTGACAGGCCGACAGGAACCAACGGAATGGTTTTCAACCGGTGCACGAGGGTGGAGTTTGGTGGAGCTTTATGACGTGGCGAAAGTCGATTGGTGCAGAAAGTGCTCAAGGTCAGTCGTATTATTTGACTAGATATAGTCGTCATGGCGACGAGGAATCCTACCGATGAAGAGGAAAAAAATAAATAAGTTCTATTGGCGGCCGGATCGGGAAACGAGAAATCGATCAGCTGAGACAAGCGAAATTGAACCCAATTGATAATAATATCAATGAAAAAAAGAGCATTCCGGGGAGGGGGGGGGGGGGGCGTTNGGTGGCGTTCGTGGGGAGGGGGGAGGGTGAACCGCAGTAAGTGAATCAAGATTCAACCACCCCTCTCCGTTCATCGAATTGTCAAGGGGTAAGGAGGGCGGGTAGGACAGGAGCGATTTTCGACGTGAGTCGCGGTGGGCGTGGCCGGTTGGTAAGGGCTGATTTCGATTTGTCCGTCGGGGATTAAACGTCATGGTCTCCATCCCGATCGCCTGAACGCGTACCTATACCGCCCCGCTCCCGGTGACGGGTTAAGTTGACCATATTTATATAAAAAAGACATACAACAATTTCGACTAAATACTTAAAAAAGACATCAAATATTTTATTTTTCAATTTGAACGTGACGTCTTGAGGCTTGTTACACGAAAATCGCTATGTTGGTACCTATTATATGGTTATTAATATAAAGCTGCAAAAATATTGTTCGTTACTGATTTTTCGTAGTAAGATATTTTCTTTTAAACGCCCATAATATTACGAGGATAACAGACCGTCTAGTAAAACCAGACACAAATCGTCCCGATTGAAGTTAGTTGGTACAAGAGATGTCGATACATAAAAAAAAAAAATCCCTTCGCTAACGGGGCGTATGGTCATCCTAGAGTAAGGTGGTTACCTTATTGGTGCGTTTGCCGTCTATGGCCACGATGAAGCCCACGCCGCACGCTTCTTTCTCCAGCTGCGGGTCGTACAGGCCGTCCTTCGGAGGACCGGTCCACGGGTCGTGGTCTGGCACGACGGCTGCGGTCTGCTCGGAGGCCATGTCTGGACGGTCTGTGATGGTCATATCTGTTTAGGTTAGGGTTTAGGTTGGTAGGTCACCAACGGAATCGCTGCTGCTGTTACCACGGCTGGCGACGAAGACGACGCACTGAGCGCGGGTGCGGCTGCGGGGAGCCGTGCGCCGCGGTTGTGGTGCGGTAGTAACGACGACGGCGCGCGCCCGCGGAACGAACACGTGCGGAGCGCTGGTGGCGCGGCGGCGGGGCTTGCCGCTGCTGCAGCAGCTGTTGTAGCCCGTACCACGCCGACCGCGGGCGGGTCGATCAATCGGAGGCGGCGGCGGCGGTGACGGAGGTGTTTGAAGCGAAAATAGATTCGCTTTGCCGGTACGGACTGAAAAGAAAATACGGAGATGAAAAAACGCTTGTATGCGACTGACGTGTCGCAGTACGAAACCAAACGTCGTCACTGTGCCCCGATGTTTATTATCGAGAGACGAGGGACTACTAACGGGTAAATAACGGACGGTGTTATCGTTATTATTGCGTACCGGTGACCGGTAAACAACGTCAAGCAGTGAACGGCAAATTCAAATGTTAATAATCGAATACGAACAAAATACTTTTTGCGCGGAATGCAGATACTCAGACACAGCGACGTGAGACAGAAAACCCGTCGCGGCGAGCGTGTGCACAAGACTGGCGAACGTCGGGCGGACTGCGTTGCGTTGCGTCGTCCGTTGTCGTCGTCGTCGTAGTCATTCGGGGGTAAATAATACCGGCACCGCGCCGCCGCCGATTTCGTATCGGTTTTATCGCTACGAGCCGGCGCGGTACGTTCGGTGTCCGCCGAAATCGACCGGCGGCGCGTCATCAGTGTCGCCCGGCCACCGGAGCGAAATTATCCGACCGCCGTCGCCGATTAGCTCTACACACGGGCCGCCGTTTCCTCCCCCGCTATGACTTGTGTCGCCACCGAGTTGTCATCGTTTTTCCGACTCGTATGTTCCTGAATAGACACACTGCCCCGTTACGTTCCGTACGTCAATTATAAAACTGTTTCAATATTTCCATCAGTTGCCAACTGTTGTATTCACGAGATATTTCGACCATTTTAGTGGACTCGCATTTACCGTTCGTGCCGTTCTGACCGGCGATATAAAGATTTTCTCGTAAAACAAAACGAAAATCCGAAAAGGTCTTTAAAATCGGTTTTAGAGACGAAACGTCCATTATCTATACAACGTGTTGACGACAATATTTTGAAAACAATCTTGTCGGCGGAAGCCTAAAATTGTCTAAACCTAAAGAATGCGCCCACTGACTTGGAACGGGAACGAATTTTGTCGGTTTTCCTCATACCTAAAGCTTCCTGCCAATCGATCTCCACGTAGAACATTGATTGTTGGTTTTAGCCGTAGAACACGTTTTTAGCTATACTATAACCATAGGCGTGCACACGGGTGCAGCGAATGCTGCTTTCACTGCACCTGACAATTCGTTTTGGATTTAGTGGGCTGGTAGATATTTATTCGAAAGGTATACACAGCATGAATAATTTAAAATTTTAAAACATATTGAATTTACAATTAAATTAATATATACATATTTAATGTTATTCACATGAAAAATGATAATACATTAATACTATTTTATCAATACGACTAGTCTTAAAATAGACGGATTTTATATTAATGGAGAAATTCGACGTAGACACTAGATTAGATATAGATACAACCACAATAACGCAGGGATACGAAAACGGAACAGATATAATATAATAATAATATTAGTCATAATCAGTAATCATAAAACCTAATCGACTATTATATTTTTAATTTAATAACGATATTTCACTGATACTGCAGTTTGCATTAAGTATTCAAATCACGCCTCGTCCTTGTGTTCTGTTAGCCATGTCAAGTAAACGACCCGGTGGTCAGGAAAAAGTTCGTATAAAGAAAAGACTATTACTGTTGAAGACTGGTGAAAACTGCCACAAGATAAAAGATTTTTTTTCAACTAAAAAAAAAAAAATCCGAAAAGAAATAATAGCAGGTAAGTGAATATTATTAGCATTATGGCAATAATGTAGTTTTATGAAGTTGTATAAAACTATATGTAATTAGTAGGCTGTGATTGGGGGGTCCTAAGTCCTCTGTGTAGATTATAAAATCAAATGTTAAGGACATTCTTACATAATAAACAGTAATGTAATATTACCTATTTAGTGTTTTTATATTTATAAAAGTATGTAGTAATATATTACATTATTACTTTTTATTTACAATTTACTATATTTCCTATAATCATAATAAGCGTAGGCGTACAGTGATGAATTTATATTGGGGGGGGGCTTTCCTCTTAATGATTCGGGTACACAAGTGATTATATGAACATATAAAATATTACATTTTTACACAGTGGAAATAAACAGAATTCAGGGGGGGCTATAGACCTCTTAGTCCCTCCCTATTCTAAAATATGGTAATAAAGGAAATAAGTGGTCTGTTTATTGTTCTTTAGGGCTGGTTAAAATTTTATGCTGCACCCGACACAAAATCCTGCACACGTCTATGAGTGAGTGTAACCACAGTTACTAATTATAATTTTATTTTTAATTTACATTAGGTACTTATTAATTGAGATTATGACTCAAATTGTATATTATTATTACTGCATAACTGTATTGCTTTAGTAACTAAAATTTCGAAGAACATTGATAAGCACAGGTTGTTTTAAAAATATTTTTGTTTACAAATTATTTTATTTCAGATGCAGACAATTTAACTGGATGACAATATAATTTTGTTTTGTATACACACTTTTACTCATGAAATTGAACGTATCCAATATCTTAAGAAGGATTAACAATTTCACAGGTATGTATCAACAATTGGACATATGGAGGATATCCCCTTGGTCCTTTTTCTTCATTTATATACATGCCATAAGTATATAGTAGATAGGTACCTTCAAATTACTCAGGTTCAAAAAAATATATTAATACTAAAATTTATTTTATTAATTTGTTAACAAATATAGATTAAATTACATTTGAAAATATTTGACGATACATTTGATGATTGGACATTTGCTAATAGTATTACTCTCTGCAGTTCAGGACTAGATATACTTGATATACTCGTGCGTGATAACTGTTTCTACTCAAATATGCACAATATGATATACCTAAAAAAAAAACGTCAAATGTATTTTAATTAAAAAACACAAACATTAGTTTTAAGTCAATTATCAAGTTATCAAATTTAAAAAAAATAAATAAGTAAATAATAATAATGAATCATAAAAATTGTATAGTATAATATGCTATAGCTTTTCCAATTCCAATGTCAAGTATTAAATACGACCAGGGAAACAGTGGCACATTTAGGGGGCGGGCGAATGACATCAGCGGAAAACTTTGAATTGATTTTAGGGCGGTAGTTTTGTTGAATATATTAATTTTTGACTTTATCACAAAATGTATAACACTTAATAGCATCATTGATTAAGTTATCATTTATCACGCTGGAACACAAATTTAATTTAAATTAAGTTAAATTAATTTACTATATGATCTTAATTTTTGTACCTCTACTATAAGCACAGAGAAAGTTGAGTTATCCTCTGCAAAAAATTGTTTAAAGATAAAATCCCAAAAGAGTCAAATGTTTGTAACAGATTTTTTTAATTGTATTTCATAGATTGATTAATCTATGATTTTATTTTGTTAAGTTATAGGTAATTATTGTAAACGCTGTTCTATAAAAGGGCTATTTTATTGATTTTATGTCAAGAACGGTCGAATTTTGTATAAACATTTTTCTACACGTGTTGTCTACACTTTGCATCCCCAAGTAATAAGTAATATGTGATAACAAATTATCGTATTGAATGATTTTGAGATGAATGCAATATGAGTGAAATAACTGATAACGTATAAAATTTACTTATGTCATTATTTGGTACAATTTTTTATTAGAATATACAATACTTTGAAATAATTGTAAATTGTTTAACCCTAGGATATACATTTTAAAATGTTAATCAAAACAATCAAGGGACACATTTATCAATAATTGAGGATGGGGAGGGAAGATCTGAGGTAAAGATTAGCGGATGAAATATTTTGTAGGGGAGGAGGAGGAAATAAAATAGTTTCACCCTAGGGCGCATATATTCAAAATGCGCCACTACCTGTAGTCACTATAAACAACTCCTCAAATATTGTTGAGTTGAATTTAATTTTGCACCTTCAACTTTGTTACATTATAATTATTATATCTAGGAAAATGAAAAGTGACCTCTGAAACGCATTATCCTTATTGGATATGAAAACTGTTGGACAATTGATAATCGATTCATTAAAAAGAAAATTAATTCAATAAAATTAAAATACCTACCAAACATAAAATATATGCAATTATTGTAGTAGGTAAACAGTAATATTATTTAAACATAATCGTATAGATAAATTGTAGGTAGGTATAAAGAGTTGATATTGTTGGTATTGATCTAATAATAATTACTATTAGTGTGATTGAAAGTGATTACATAGATACAGTAGGTACCTATGTAGATAGTGACAATAATAATTTAAAAAGTAATCAATTTGTAATTTGTTGATACTTTATGTATCTATGCTATCTTCCCAACTTTGCACCTATAAAAGTGGCATATATAAAGTTTGAATATATTTCTTTAATTGATTAATGAAAAACAAAAAATACAATATATTAGAGTTGAACGAGTATCGTTTTTGAATGTCGAGTTGAGTCGAGTTTCAATTATTTCGAGTCGAGTCGAGCTCAAATGTCGAGTACTTGAAAAAGTTTGAGTACTAAAAAAAAAGCCGAGTACTTGATAATTGCCGAGTCGAGTCGAGTTTCAATAATTTCGAGTCGAGTCGAGTTCAAATATCTAGTACTAAAAAAAGTCGAGTACTCAAATTCATAATTTGAAATGGGTCGAATACTGGGAATTGCTGAATTATTTTTAATTATGCTCGTAAATGATTTTAAATTTTTCAATCTTTCATAAAAATCTTGCCCTAACAATTATAAACACAACAAAAAAAAAAAAAAAACAGCCACATTGGCCATTCTCAAGCGATGATCTTTCATATACATGCTGCAAGTAATTTTTATACTACCANATGCAATAATTATTTAAATTAAACAAGAATTGCCTTTATTTATTAATTAATTATCTAATATCTTTATCATCATAAACTAGTAACTACAAAGTAAAAAATATTTAAAAGTTTAAGCATAGACTACATTAAAAACTTTTAACATTAATTTTCCAATAAAATAGTGAAACGAGTACTCGTTGAAGTCGTCGAGTACTTGATTGAAGTCAAGTACTCGTATGTATGAGTACAAAAAAAATTGTGTCTAGTCGAGTCGAGTACTCGAATTCGACTCGAAAATTTTTCCAATTTCGAGTACTCGCCCAACTCTACAATATATACATATATATGTGATTTTCTAAAAAAAATGTGTACCTATACTGTAAGTTTTAATACTATTACCGTTATAAAAAAAAAAATAAATAGATATCTACCTACTCATCAAGTAATAATCAAATTCAGAGTTAAATATTATAACACTGGCTAAACATATTTAATATTAGATTTATCTAATTAATTTGTTTATCTTATCTTATCTTATGCTTATTATATTATTTAATTAAAATCATGAGCATATAATTAATGACACTATGATATTATTGATTAGCTATCACATAAGTCATATCATTACAATAATAACAGTTTATTATCATAATTATATATGACAATGATATAAATAATTACAAAAAATAAAAAAACATAAGTTGTGATATTATTTTTTATACAAATAGAATAAGATAAGATAAGTTAAAAAAAACAATATTTTCCTGAGTTTATTGTAGAATATTTAATGCAATTGTCAGTAAAGATACTAAAATTTGATATCACACCATTATTATTATTAGATTCTGAGCATAGCAAGGAATTTATTGGTTTTCCTTTGATGTGTGTGTATTTAATATGTCTGTAAAATTTCAAAAATAAATCTTGTATACCTAATCTAATATCTATTGTATAACATTTTATATACCTAAGTTGAATAAATACTAGACGCGATATTGAACAAACGAAATTTCAATGCGTTAAAATCTGTAAGAGTCTGTTACCAATGGCAGATTTTCAAAAGTTTTCTGAATGAGAGGGGTCCTAAAAAATTGTATTTATTTCAAAGATATCTATTAATACATGCAACTTTTTTAAACAACATATTGAAATCAGGCACAGATCCAGAGCAAAGATATGGGGGTGGGCCCTAACAACTTTTTCACAACACAAACGCAATTAAAATCTAATCTAATACATTTGGTACATTATTTTTTCATACAATTTGCATACAAAAATCTGAAAAATAATGTCTGAGGAGGGGGGGCCTGGACTCAGGGTCGTCCTGACTATTTGCGGGGCCCAGAGCGAAGTAAAACTGTGGGGCTTAAAATGTCATTATTGTCAGCTGCATATATTGATATAAAGAGGTAAGAGCCACAGGCGCAAATAGGGGAAGGGGCCAACTGTCGACCATTTATATCTTTTGTATCACCAACTTCTAGCAGGATTTTAATATCCATATAATGTTTCATTAAATCATCTTCATCCATTTCAGAAATACTTCCGATATTATATAGGAAACCAAAATAATCATTAAATTTGTTCAATTGTTGAAACCTTTCATTTATGAAAACTATCCATTGGTCCAAAATTGGAAAAAAATATTAATTTTTAAAAGAATTCTCATTTTTATTACAAGCAGATATACTCATACTTGGACTTTCATAACCAAACATTTTTTTTTTTTTTTTTAAACTGATATGATTTCCAATTATTGACATACTTTAAGTTTCTCTTTGTATTTTCATAACCATTTTCTCGATATCCTGTTAAGAATATTTTCAGGGCAACATAGTTCTCTAAAGCGAAATCAATAAAAATGTGTTTATTTGTAAGGTTTTACTTAATTTGGTGATAGCATTTAATAAATCATACCATGTCTCTGTGCTTAAAATGAATTCAAATGTCATTTTATATTTAAGAAGTGATTTTGTCTCAATTGCTGGTATTTTTGTTGTATTGATAATTTCTAGTAGAGCTTCACTAATTTCTTGTAATTGCTCTTTTACTGCTTTCACTGATTCTAGACGACACTCTTATCTAGCTTCACAAATCGACTTCAATGTAAGACCGTGCAAATGTCTGTTTAAAATTTCCCAGTATTCGGTAGAAGCTGAAGATATTGTGTATAATCTTTGTATTATCCCAAAGAAAATCATAGCTTGACATATACATTTACTATATCTTCTAAAAAAAAAATTATAATTTAGATTGGATTTTATAAATGCATAAAAAATATGTAATGACATACTAAAAACCTAATAACAAATTTAATGAGTGAGCACAACTCAGTAAAAATAGGGCTCTTGGATTTTCCTTTAAAATACGAGCTTGAACACCTTGCTTATTCCCTACCATATTTGCACCATTATCATAGGCTTGACCACAATAATTTGATAAACATAAACCCAAATTTCCTAGTTTTTGTTTCAAAACATTTGTTAATCCCAATCCAATTTTGAAGGTTGTATGAAGAAAATGTATAAAGTATTCTTGTATTTCTACTACCCTTTTATCATTAATTTTTTTTTATACGTAAAATTCTTATAATTAAATCTAATTGTTGTTTATTAGATATGTCCGGTGTAATATCAAGCATTATTGTGTAATAATTTGAATTTTTAATTCTTGAAATCATTTCCATTCTTATTTTGTTTCCAATTAAATTTATTAACTCTGTCTGAGTTTGAAGCCCCAAATAATGTTGATGAATTTCTTGATTTTTCTTAAATGTTCACCCATTAGATTGTCAAATGATGCAATCATTTCAATTAACTTAAGAAATTTACCATTCTGATCATTATAAATTGTACAATGTTTTCTCCTAAACGTATCATTTTGTCTAGTAAGATACGGTATGCATGCAGTGATTCTTTTTAATACAGTTCTCCATCTATCTTTTTTAGTAAGTATTTGGTTTTGAATATGATGATCCAATGTATTACCATTTTCTAAATTTAAAGACAAATCCATCCATCGCTGCATTGTTTTTAGATGATCTTTTTTAAATTTATGCGATTTAATTCTATTGCCTAAATGTTACCAGTCATTAATTCCATCAATAAAATCAGTCAAATTTAGTGTGTTTGCAAATAATCAACATGAAAAACAGTATACTTTATCTTTTTTAATTGAGTAAATTAACCAAGATCAATTAACTGATTCTCCATTGCTCATTAATTTCTTATAATAATTCTCACCAAAACATCTATTATTTTCATTCCTTGGAAATTTAAATTTGTTTATAATTATTAATTGTATGGCTTTTGAGATAAGATTTAGCCAGTTACCTGGGTCTTCTATGTCTTCAGAGTAATAGCATATAGTATTCTAAAAGTGAATTATAATTTAAATAAAGTTGAAATATTACATTAGATATATTTAATTATTTAAAATAACCTACGCTTTCAGGTAACGGATCATCAACACTATTTTCTTGAATATTATTATTGATTGTTGGAATATGAACAATCTCTTGACATTCATATTCCTGTACTCCTTTACATTCCTAAAAATGCATTAGGTCGAACCATAATATATAAATAAGTATATATAAATTATAGAAAACTACTGCTGTACTGCTTACATTGCATTTTGTTATAACATCGAAATAATCTGATACAATATTTGGTTTATTCAAAAACTTGACTAAAGAACCACGCATAGAATTTGTTTTCTTCAGTTTTTCACCATCAGATAAATATTTTCTGAACTTGTCTCGTAGCCTTGACATCTTTGATTTTGTATTAATTACCAGTTAACACTTTCAATAATATAATGTTTATTAGTTGTTAGATGTGTGTACTTAGACATCCATTAACCAGTAACCTAACCTTTAGGTTTTCGAACGTCGCGATATGCTTTTACTACTATTATTACGATTTACGGCGTTGACTGAAAACGAAAACAACTATAACTATTTTTTTTATAGTCTCCGAGTCTGACCACCAGCGCGACCTGACCAAAATTATTGTACTTAATAAAATAGATAAATATTGTTTTCGTCAAAAATATGATAATAGAAATTATATTATGCTAACCATCGGTATTAATAGCAGTGACGAGCAGTGACGAGCACTGCCGTCGCGGTCGCTATTTCGTTATCTTTCGGGGAACTACACTGCCTGCTACAGCCACCGAAAATAGAATGCATGTTAATAACATAAGATGTTTACCATATACGTGATTATTATTATCAAACAAATAATTGCGTAATATTATAAGACTATTGTTATTCTTAATAGGGATTTTTCGTCGCCCGGATCAACAATAATAATAAATTTGTGTTATCGGGGGGTCGCGTTTACGACGTTTAAATGTGTAATGAGTGCGACGACGGAGAGGACGTTAACGTCAGAGCGAAACGATCGCCTTCGACTCCAGTTATTCTTTTAATATAGATAAATATCATAAATTACATATTATTTTGTTCCGTTCAACAATTTTATATGAAAAAAAAAAAAAATGATAGGTCCATTTTAGATTCTGAATGGAGCGAAGAAGCTTATGGTTTTACAAAGATAAAAAGTGGGAAAATATAACTATGTAAGAAATGTAGGCATTAGTTAAAATATATTACAGCTTTCTTTTTTTCTGTTCACAACTTTTATACCAGCAATTTTGATCCAACTTTTAATGATAGCAAAGTTTCTAAAAGGAAATTTCACTAGGGAGGTACTTTAGACTGGTCATTTTTCAATTTTCCCAAGAGTTTTCCAAGCAAATGTGAAAACCGGGATAAAACATGGGAAAAACGTAGGAAAACTGTACAAATCGGTACAAAATTGAACAAATTTTATTAAAAAAAAAAAATATATAAATCCTATTTGATTATTTTACTACAAAATGACATATATATTGTTGACAAAACATCAATATCAACTGAATTCCGCTCAGAATCGTTTTTTCGTAAGCAATAGTTTATCGTTGCTTACAGATATACATTAAATCCCCGTCTATATCCTACCATCACAACTTCCCACTTACACCAGTAGCTGCACCCGTCCCCATTATTTTACCTTTGTTTTTTTTGTTTTTTATTGTATCTAAAAAAGCCGGGCCCGGGGCGAAGGCCCCGCTCGCTCTGTCCTAGGGATGGCCCTGCCTGGGCTCCTAGGTTTCCTCTGGATCCACCCCTGATTGAAATTATATCTGTGTTTGGGATGGTGTCAAGATCCCTTGGATGTCACTTCTCAGTAAATTCATTACTGTCCGGTATTAAAATAAAAACAATAAAATATACATTTCGTAATAATATATATTATACAATATTTTGTCATTCTGTATTTTCATTTATTTCCCGATTCGTCGGAAATACGTTTTAACTATATAAACTCCCGTCATTCAATTATTACTATAATATATTATTAATATTTTAACGTTTAGCAACCTGCTAATATTTAATAACAGAAATGGGAAATTATCATTTAATTATTACCAAGATGTTAACGTTTATCGTTTCATTATATTATTTTCTTTGGGATTCTATCGTTTACATTCACATTTCGACATGTAAAACGAATGAATTAGCGTTCACCATTCATTGAAAATAAAAACAATTATTACATTAGAGAACATTTTTCACTAAAAAGTAATTAAATTGAATGCATCGTTTACAAGCATTAATATAGTTTCTACAGTAATAATACATAATATTATACCGTTCGCGCAGCATTTTAAACCTACGATGGCCGTCTGACCGTGTTTTTAACGCTAGTTTCAGGTGTTCAGATTTCAAACTCGAAACCCGTGGCGATCTATGATAATCTATCGTAAAAAGTGGGGAGGAATGATATTCTGGCCAAACGTCTTACCGATTCAACAATTTTCTATGAAAAAAACTCGTAGGTAGAGTAGGTATACCTAGTAATAGTATATTAATATAATTTTAACGTTCGTTTACCTATACACGTTTTAAGCCGGTTTTTGGCTTAATATCCTATAAATCACCGCACTTCAGTTCCAGAAAATATCTGTGCGATCCCTAGTTTGAACAAGGTGATATTTTATTCGTTTATCATACAATATTGTAAAAAAGATCACGTGTATTGGCCAATGAATAGGTAGCACCTTTTTTTTTTTTTAAAAGTCAATAGTAATTTGTCACGAGCTATAGGTAGTAGCGCGTATATTATAAAGATTTAAATTTTTGATTCTAAAAAATTTGCATTAAGTTTGAGTACATAAATTATTATTAATACGTATTAGTGTATTAAATTATCATGAGCTTATAAGAAAAGAGTAAAAAAGGCTGATAATCTGAAAAGACTGATGGGTGTGTCAGAGTTGTAGATAGGTTACTGGCAAGGTTATAGGAGGGCCATTTCATTTATATTTATATTTAATTTGTACTCAACGATAAATTATTGCTAATGAAAAACGACTCGAAGTAGAACGCGGAATGTATTGAATTTACAATGATATATTTGTTTTTTCTATGAACAACTTTTCTACCAGCAATTTTGCTCCGATTTACAATGATAGCACTTTTTCTGAAAGAAAATCTGTCTGGGGTGATAACTTGACGTTTTACCTAATAATTCCAATATTGAGTTTTATTCTTAAAAGCATATTAACAACACACTTTGGAAATTTTATGCTCTAAAACTCACTAAGTTAAGTTATCGAATAATTCAAACATTTTAACACGTGACCGCGATTCGGAGATACACTATAAATGGGGTGACCGAAACTGTTATATCTGCTTATCTTAAAAATCACCAACGACCGCAACTCGTATGCAGCCATCTTAACGAATACTTAAAAATAAAATAACACACAATACTTCTTTATTGGAAAAAAAAAAAATACATTTGTTCTTTAATCTTTATAATATACTATTATATAAGCAAATATAATATTATTAGTAGTAAGTAAAGTTACTTATCGCATATCAATTTGCTGTTTTGACATTAGACTAGACAATTGTATCATTATTATCAATATTATTATCAATTTCTATGTAAATTGTTCTACTCATAGTTGCATTACTATTATTATTATTTTTTTTGCATAATTTTTAAAATATCTATAAACCAGTGGTTAACCTTTTACAAATCGTGACCCCCTGTTTTTATTTTGTGTATACTATGTATATTTAAGCCTTATGGTTTTTGGCGAACCCCCAGATATCACTCGCTACCCATTGTGAGTCGCGAACTCCAGGTTAAAAACCACTTTTGTAAACTATCATCAATGCGGTCGATTAAAATGCCCAACTGTCGAAGAATCTATTAGCTACATCGAATATAATATAATACATTAATACTAGCTGAATTACCTGGTGTTTCATGGCCCTTGGGTTCATTTTTATTCCAAACACAGTCATTAGTTGTTGATAGTTAATTTATCTCTTGGAAAGGGTACTGTCTCATCCTCATCCGTGAAAAATGAACTGTATTTTTCCTTGTCGCCAAGATAATCCGTAAATAAATTAAAAAAAAAAAAAAAAAAGTAATTTTTGTTCCAAAAATACCAACAATTATGTGTCGCTCTAAGAATTTATATTCTTTATAGGTTGAATTTCGAGATAAAAAATAGACAGATACCTTTCTTTTGTTCCGAATGTCAAATGTGCAACGTTTCTTCCAGATCGGAAATAAATTATAGATTTGTGTAAAAAGCTAATATAAATCAAACTTGATTTTATATATTTAATATATGGACAATTTTTCAATTATTTTTATATTTTACACGGCTAATGGGAGTGGGGCTAAAGTCCCCTTAGTCTCCACCTAGGCACATGACTGTTGGTATATACTGGAATATTAAACATTTAGGCCCCTTTTTTTTTTTTTCTACCGGTAGGATCAAAGATTTTATAGCTAAATTTTGCGCAAAAAACAGCGTACAAATAGGTCCAGTAGTTTTTGAGTCTATTGATCTCATTTTTACTAAAATCCATTTTTATAAAACCATAAAATATACGTATAGTTATAGTTATATTTTTAACGTCAAACCATTTTTTGTTCAAGACCATAAAGGACAATAATCATTATCATGACGTGTCATCGCGATTCGGCGTATTGAATTTATATACGTATTTTTTTTACATACCTACACACTATTATTCCGATGCGTTATTTATTTTACAGTTGTTATATAGAAATTTTTTCCGAATTATCGGCGCCTATTCGTTTGTCTTTGTCTAACCATGTTAGAATCTAACGCGATACACACAATATAGAAATTTAGACACGTTTCGTTTCCAAATTCCAACGAACACTCGTATTAACATTTTTGTTTTTTACCTTCTCATCTTCTCACCTACAACAGTGGCACACGTGTCGACAGTATCAGCTCCATTTTTTCACTTTGTTCTTTTATTTTTCTTGGTTTTTTTTTATACCGATCACCAGACTTTCGGTCTAGACGGAATTCGGTAGCAGATGATGTCAACCAGTGAAGTATCGGCTTAATATTATTATGGTTATTGATTATGATTATGATTGATTATATTGTGCGATCGTTTCGACGAAAAGTCGACTATCGCGCGTTAGTTTCGATTTCGGTGTAAACGTGCTGGTCCCTGTATAATAATGGCCTGCGCGAACGTGTCAACACATAATGTTTAGAGGGGGCTCGTAGCATGATGCACGTTGATGTTTCAATTTTCAGTTTGACATTTTATGTGGCGGCGCGTCGTTCGATTAGTCAAGACAACATTTTGAAATTACATACTTGGGTGGGAAAGTAGGCAGGGTTAGGCAGTATCTTTGGTTCAAGATACTTATC